GGAAAACTAAACAAAAAAGGCTTTTGTCACCTCCATTAAACCCACGCCCAGATGGCAAATATCCTGTGGGGAAATCCCAGCCACACCTGCGCCTGCAATCAAAGTCAAAAGTCAACGCCCAGGCTTTTGACCCCGACTTTGGACTGACAACTTAATTGTGGTCCGCAGACAAACAAGTTCTATTTTTCGCCGCGAACTTTCAACGCGCCCAATCCCAATGACAACAGCATTAATAATTCAATTTCGTGAGGGAGGCGGAAACGGAAACGGAAGGGGAACTTGGGAACTGGGCTCGTTCCCCCAATATTTGGCAATTACTTGGCCCAAACCTGTGGCAGGTGCATAGCTACCGCCACTTGGCTGAAAGCGATATCCCAGCCTAATCCGTTTAACCTCCATGTCAACTGGGTCTGTTATGACCCGTCGGCAGACTCAATCTAAATTACCCCTGGCTTGGGAGCCCCAGGATGTGTCGTCACATCCTGTCACAGGGCCAAAGTGTCGTTTTAATAAGCGTTTCGCAGCCTCACCTTTGTGTGTTTGAGTGTGTTTGTGTGCGGGTGATGGCCTTGTTTTCATTTTTGCTAATGGCCCACAAGTTGGCCATTGTAAAGCCGACCTAAGACTTACGGCTCTCCATCCTGCTGATGATGTCCTCGGCCCCAGTTTGCCTAGGACATTAACCTGTGTGTGGGGCAGGCACTCCCTTGGTTGGGAAGACTCCTTTGGGGATTTCGTTGTAATGCATTCCGGCAAATGATCTTATTAGGATTTGCCTTCGAAAGGTAAAATAAAGGGGGTGGTTAAGAGTTTCAAAAGTGCACCTATTGAACACCTCAGCTGAGTGTCATAAAATATGTATATCACACAATTTAACCTAGGCAAAATGTCTTCCTGTCAGAAAAGCATTAAAAAGAAATCGTTTGATTTCCCCAAAATATGTTCCATTAATGCTTTTCTAAGCGGCCAACAATCACAGGAGGTACAGACCTTCTAAGTACTATCCATTAGATACTAAAAGCTGAATATATATATACATAAACATACCACAATACAACTCAATTCTCGAATCCAATCCTTGGGGGTGGATAAATATAAATGCGTTAGGCAATTTGTAAATGTAACTAACAGATACAAATCTGCTGGGAATGCGTGGCCGGAAAAGAAGAAAGCACATAATCAAAATTAAAATAAGAATCTCATCGCTCAGCCGCAGAAACAGAAACAGACACAGAGATACATTCCCGGAGATATGACACTGGGAACAAACGACCCAAACAAATTACACATTTTCCTCCGCTTTATTGTTGGCAATTTATTCGCAGCTAAATTAAAATACACACCATTTACCTGAGGACAACAGCACACAGCCGCTGACTCCCGGTGACATTGACAAACTGGAAGAGCCAAATGGAAATGGGATTTGGGGGCAGTTTGGTTTAGTTGGGCTGCCCCAGATCGTGACATCATCTCCCGCTGCCCTGGAGTCAAAGTTGAGGTCAAAGGCGAGACAGGCCGTGACGGTTTGACATCCTCTGAGCCCTGAAAGCAATTCCATTTAAAATATCAGATTCGATCATCTTGTTAATTAAACCTCAGCGAAATAAAAACTCTATTTTTAAGGATCTGAAGGGTTTCAAGTGAGAATGGTTTCAAAAATACCCTAACTATTATTTTTCGAATAAGAAAAGTAAATTCTTTATTAGAAAAACTAAAATAGACTACGGATTACGTATGGAAAGGCCTTATAACCAGAATTTATTTTTCTAAAATAGCATTTATCTAAATAATATAAAAGAATATACTTATTTAAGCAATCCAACACTTAGCTGCACAATTACATGCCTACTTAACAAAAATATTTGTACAACCACCTAACTTCCAAGCAGCTTTTGGTAAGTGGAAGATATCCACACATCCTGTACTCCATATCCACTCCACTTACATATATACCCCGACTAACTTCCAGTCCGAGGCTCAATTGGCGTGCTGAATGAACCGCCCTGGTTGGGCAGAGTTTTTGATTTTAATTTAGATAAAGTGCGCTATGGAAATCAGTTTCGCTGTAACTTTGCCGGGTTATCCGGGCTCAAATCGGGCCCAGACAACTAAACACTCCATAAATACAACAACGGGGGGCGGGGCAGATCGGGGGGCGAGCTTAAGGTAAGCTGTAAATTGCACGCTTTCATGTAGATAATTAATCACCGCGAGCATTCGGTTCAGGTGGCCCTGTTTTGCGGAGAACGAAACTCTTCCACTTGCCATTGAAGATTTGGCTTTGTGGCGAATGTAAATGCAGTTTCATGCAAATTTATTCCTGATCTTATCCGTATGATTTTAAATTCACAATACCAACGCTGGAGCATTGTGCTGTCCGAGATTTATTGGTGGCGCCATTTTCGGAGGCATTCGCGGAAGTCAAATCAATTATACGCCCTGTTGGGCACTCGACGCACTAAAGGAAATTGAAATTATTTGATATAAATTAATGCAATTAAGCATTTGGCTAAACTCGATGGGGATTAGGGTTCAAGTGAAATACAAACTCAGTTCATGCGCAAAATTCATCAACTTTTTATTTGGACTATTTCGGGTACCTTCAATAACTTTATTTTACAATACTCAGTTTGGTTTAATAACTCTTTTTGCTTTGCCAATTTTGTTTCTTCAGTAAAACTATTAGTTGCTTTTGCGAGGAAATTTACTTCTTGTACCAAACCAAATGGAATTCCCATTGATTTAAAATAAAATAAATTTCTCAAGTAAAGTAAACACATTTATAAAGTATACACTTTGCACATATTTCCGTCTTTCCAGTCTCTGGCCATTGCTGAGAAACAATCAACCCCAAAGTGGAGGATAGAAGTACTCGAAATTCAACAGTCAGAGCAGCTGGGACTTGGATTGGAAAACGTTGGACCTTCACGTGCATTTCCGAGAACGTTTGCAATGGCAAATGGGAAAATATTTAAATGTAACTCAATTTCGAACGCAATATGCGCTTGGGAACCACTTCGTTCCTTCTGTCGTAATACAGGATAGTTTGATTTGATTTATTTATAAGTTCAATTTGTGCACATAATTTTTTCAATATTAAGCTTTGATGCGGATGCAGTCGATGGCGACTGGAGTCTACCGGGGAAGGCAAACGAAAATCAATTCAATTTGCCAGTTGCCGAGTGCAAAGCGAATGCCAAATGAAGATGACTAATATTCGTGACGATGAGTGGTTGAACCCAGGCACCCAGCAGCTCGGAGGAAAAAGTGAAACAAGGGCAGGACTCTTCCACACATTCACACACAAAAAGTTGTGTCCTTTGGCATTAACAACCTCAAGTTCTTCTTGTCGAGCTGGAAAACTTGCTGGAAAAATGCAAGCAGACGAACAATTGCCGGCGAAAATAACAGAGAGAGGGGCTTTCCTTTTTTTCTGTGAGCTGTTTCTTCAGTTGCTGCACATAATTACATGAAAAGAAAATTAGTGTCGAGATTCGCCTTGAGCGCCTCTCCAGGTGAAAACTTTTAATGAGCAATTTTCTCACAAATTCCCAAGTGTTGCCGCATTTAATTTTTTAATGAAAAAATTTCTTTCAGCCGCAGTACACGAAGGGGAGTGGGAAAATCTGGCGGCAAAGATTTCCACTTTGACCGTTTTTTCTTTGAGTTCTTCAATCAGTTTCGGCTTCATTTAGGACTGGCATATTTCTCCATCCTTTGGCCTGGCTTTTTGGAGTGCGTAATTGGGGGTGGTGGGCGATCTAGGTGTTTGTTTTTATTTATCGGCGGCACAGAGAGAGAGCTCCCTGACCCATGTTAATGGCCGATTGACACGCCACTTGGCCTTGATGGGGCTTTTAGCCCGGCTCCCACTCGACTGCTGCTCCCCAAAAAACAGACGAAGCGCTTCTGCAGCTCCACACTTTCGCAGGATTAATGGCGGGGGAAAGTGCTCGGCCGGGGGATTCCCACACTCGCCGAACGAGGTGCTAAGCGAGCGTGCTGATTGCTGCCATTTTTGATAAGGAGTCGGCATTAATATTTCCCTTGCGTTGGCTACCACCGTTTTGTCCAGTCCGCTGATATATAGCTGCGAACGGCTCATTAGCACCACTAACTTCACACCTAGTATTCAAGATAAGTTGTACATAATTATTGCATAAATATAAAATATATATCAACAGAATAACCTAAGAACCCTAAAAAATATATTACAAAAATTATAAATATAAATTTTATTCATTTTATCAACAATTATTTAAATATATTTGCTATAATTGATTGATTTAGCTAATAACCAAAAGAGTTTATAATCTACAATTCCAGTTCTTATCTTCCTATCTTTGATCTATAAATCAGCTCTAGGTTATTTTCGGAATCAAACCACCAACCAAATCGGAATTTCTCCTGCTAAATCAAAGGACCTACCCCAGGATGGCCGACTACACGGGCCTGTTCAGGTGCCACAAGGCAGTGATAATCTTATCTGAGGAGAACGCACCCTGCTAGAAGGATGATTCCTGCCGGTCAAGTCAGCTGCCACACATAAACAGGCAAATAAAAGAGCCATTTGGTGTATTTCCATATTCATAAATCTGCTGGCCGGTTAGTCGGGCTAGCCACACGTCCATAAATCGACATTTCCATAAAACCAAGTGACTTCGAGCTTCGAGCCAAGTTCAAATCCGAATCCGAAGGCTGCCTTCCGACTAAATCAAGTGTCTGTTCGGTGTCAGTTTAATTGCAAACGTAAATTGGATGCTGTCATTTGCTACGTTTCCATTTGTTCGAAAGTTGCCCAGCCCTCCTGCTCTCGGTGAATGAATCTGTGCAGCACCCCTGGCAGTTTCCATTGACTTTTGCTGCCATCCGTTCTGACGGACATTTCTGCCAGCTGCTCCAGAAACTCGCAACTCGGATCTGCCCAGAATGCAAACGTTGCACAAATCCCAGCTTTGTTAATTGGACTCATTTTGGAAGTTGGTAGCTGGCAGCTTGTGTATTTTAAATTGGCATTTCTGACAGGCCACTGGAAAAGTCGGACGTTTTTATTCAACATACAACATGGTGTACATGGTCCACAGACCTAGTCGATTTCTACTGCAGCCTCCTCCTCCTCCTGATCCTTGGCACCGACCGCTTCGAGGATGTGCTTCTTGACGATGTCCCAGTCGTAGATCTGGTCGTTGGGGAACTTCAGCGTGTACATCAGGGCCAGAAAGGTGTACCGAATGTCCTTGTAGTGCGGCTCCTCCTCGAAGCCCAAGGCCCGGCTGTAGCCGACAAAGTGGTAGAAGGCCTCCGGATAGCCCTCGCACAGGACCTCCGGCTGCGTGGACAGCTTCATCTCGCAGATCATCTCGTGCTTCTGCTGCTTCTGGTTGGCCGTCAGTCCCTGCCAGGGCAGACTGCCCCGCAGGAAGTACATGAGCACATAGCCCATGGCCTCGATGTCGTCGCGCCGCGACTGCTGACCTCCGCGCAGGGCATTTATGGAGGCGTAGCGAGCGGTGCCGGTCAGTCGGCTGCCCGCCCTGGGTCGCACATGCTTATCCGTCGCCGCGTCCCAGTACCGCTTGGCCAGGCCAAAGTCGATCAGGTAGAGCCGGTGGCCGGCGTCGTCGCGACCCATCAGCAAGTTCTCCGGCTTGATGTCGCGGTGGAGGTAGCGATGAGAGTGCACGTACTCTAGGCGCTCGATCATCTGCTCCGCCACCATGAGCACCGTCTTCAGGGAAAAGTTCCGCTGGCACAGGACGAACAGGTCCTCCAGCGAGGGACCCAGCAGCTCCATTACCATCACGTTGAACCGGTGGTTCGTGTGGTAGTGGTACACCTGCGGAATTCCCATTCCGTGGCGCAGGATGTTGTACAGTTTGTACTCGAAGAGCAGCTGCGGATTGGCGATATCACTGCGCTCCAGCTTTAGGGCCACTTGCAGGCCGGACTTCCGGTGCGTGGCCTCGTAGATGTCCCCAAAGGAGCCGGAGCCCATCTTCCGGCCCAGGGTGTAGTCCTCCAGACTCTCGGACTGAAAGCTCATGCTTCTCGCTATTTAAACAAAAACTACTTAATTGTTTCCACTTTTTTGTAGTCCCAGGGCTGCAGCGGGATAGTTATCGATAAATGTGGTTACGATTAGGGGCTATCGAGCTTTGGGGTATTCGAATGGCTGCAAATGGTCATGCAAAAATAAAAAATACAAAATAAATAAATAATAATTTTATTGGTAATACTAAGTAGAGGCGTAGAATTGCCTCTTAAATTCTTACCTTATGCTAGAAAAAAATATCGCGTCCACACGGTTCACATCTAAGCTGTAGAGTAAAATAAAAACCTAAAAAAAATTTTATGCGATCTTATTTTATAAAAGCTTTTTTTTATTTTATTTTTTTAAATTAAATTATTAGTGAAACTACAAAACTTTTTTGACATTTTACATAATCTAAGTAGTCTTTGGTTACCTCTCAGTGAGAGGCTCTTCCTTTATCTGACAACAAAATTATTTAAGAAAAAAATCTCTTAAAAATTAAAAAATAAACAAAATGTCTGCAGAGAAAAACAAGTGCCTAAGTCTAACCCAGGAGTTTAAATTAATGCGTTCTGAATACGAACTTAGAGTAAATCAACTGGAAAGAGATGTTTTCGAGTGCTGTCGAATTTTGAATAAAGCCCATAGAACCGAAGACCTGACTAATAGTTGTTCTTCTGCAAAAGAGAACTCGGAAAAACAAAAGTTTATATCCTGGAAGTTCGATATGCGAGATTTCTCGGTGAGGAACATAGCAATCCAGATCAAGGATAATCACGTCTACCTTCGGGCCTATAAGAAAAATGTGGATATCAAACAAGAAATATATATGCCCCAAAATGTGGATAAGTCTAAAATTACAGCCGTTCTGACAACCAGTGGTGTTTTAACATTATCTGTTCCAATAAGAATGCCGCTATCAGACATCCAGAAGCTTACTCTTTGAACTAACCTAATATAGTTTGTTAATGTTTTTTAGTTTAATGTTATACTTTATTTGTGTTGGCTTTAGCCATTTATTGGTTTATAAATCAAGGAGTTCTAGAATATTTTTTTAATGAAAAGCTGCTGGTCCTTAAACTTTCTGTAGATATGCTGTATATTAGCTCTAAGACACAGTCCAGTCAGAAACTATATTTTAAGCAAAGCTACTTGAACTTAAGAAAGGATTCTGTGGCTTAGAGCAAGGTGTCCAGCAGACTACAGATTCGGGTCTACGGAATAAAGTTGGATTTAGGTTTGGATTAGACTGGATCATGGCATCGGGAACACAGGGAAATATCATAATGTGCGGAGTGGGTTGAAGAAAAGGCGCCTGAGTCTCCATTTGCTGATCGGTTTTGAAGCTCTGCAACAACTCCCGTTTCAATTCCTCCACAATGCTTCTCCGGCAAAGGGACTCTTTATCCCAGTCTTCTATCAACTTGGGGCAACATAGATCCCCGCGAACACTGGATTCTGTTAAATCCTGACTTGGCATAGCTGTGAAACTGGTGGCATATTCACTCTGAGGTTCACCTGAGCTTGTTGGAATGGGATCAGGATAGCGAACCAGCTGCATGTTGGTTGGGACTTGGATATTATTCCTGAAACTACTGGAACTGCGTTTACTTATTGTCGATTCGGAACTTTTAGACGGGACTTTGAGAGCAGATTCGGGCTTCGGAAAAGATTTTTGGATCGGAGCTGCTGGAAAGCTTCGGGGACTTTGGCTTGGCCAACTTTTAGTTCTTCTCGGGCTGACTTTAATTTTTCTATCTTCATCAAATTGAAAATTGTGACTCTGGCATCTGTGGCATTCACTTTTGGGGAAATTATGAGATTCCCGTTTTCCGCATGAGCAAAGCGATTTAATACTACTGCCGGAACCGCTTACCGAACCACTTACCAAACTATTCGAGCTATTTGTTTTCAAGATTACCTTTTTTGGTGCTGTTCTTTCGAGGTTGTTATTTACACCTTTCAAGCTTGACCTTTTGTTTATATCACTCTGAAAGAGAGTAGGTGGTTTGGAACACTTTTCGATAGTATTTGACTGGCACAAACCAGGTCGGGAAGGTCTTGAACAATTGTTTTCTAACCTATCGGGGGTCCAGCTGTTGCTGAATTCGTGTGGAGAGTTACAAGTCTTCGAATGACGCGTCAGGCTCCAATTGGTGCTGATTCGTTGCCGGGGAAAAAGTTTTTGCGAAGATCTACCGCTGATAAGAGTTGGTGGTTTTGAGCACGCTTCAATGCTCTTCCTATTGCTAAACTCCTTAGGTCTTTCAGTTCTTGAGGAACTGCTTTTGGAACTGTTTGTCGTAGAGGAACCACTGCTGTGAACAGAGGGCGGCGGAGAAAACCGAACATTTTTGAATCGGTTTTCCTGACTAGCGCTCGAATCGCTGCCACATATTGTGGTACCACTAAATTGCCTCGATACCGAAAGGTTTGGAGGTCTTGGAAGGTCTATGGTATTGCTGATGTGGTTGTTACAGGATAACCCATGGTCTCTCACGACCTTGGATGATACAATCCTCGGACTGCCAGTCAAACTCACATCTGTGGCCCGGATTGTAAGGCAGACATTTATTTCACTTGTTTCGATGGAATCTTCACCTTCATCCCCACTATAAAGACTGCAATTTCCGCTGGATACGCGATTGTATACTTTCTTCGAACTCTTCGTACGCAGATCAGCATTGGGTCTGAAATATTGACTATTTCGTTTACTTAATCCTTTATCGCAGTGGTCATTATTTACCTTCGATCTGTGGTTGGTTGTACTCAAAACATTGTACATGGAGTACTCATGGTAGATCTCATCATCATTTTCAGCGAGCTGCTTGCCTTTTCCCCTGTAAACAGTGGGATAATGACATCCCTTTCCCCTCCTTGCACAGTATCTTTGGGATGCATTTCCTAAAGACGGGCTGGGAATAGGAACTCTCTTATTTTGAGACTCCAAGGAGTGGTTACTTGTTTTTGGTGAGCTTATAATATAATCGGGGCTTTTATTATTTCCACAATCTATGTGAGCACAGTTTAGGCGACGTTGTACTGGCTTATAGTTTCTTAGTACTTTGGATTTGCTTCCAAAAATATTTGATCGCGTCAAACATATTCTAGATTTTTTCAAGAATCCCGATATTTTTTGCTTCATGGTTTTTCGTTTCCGATCCTTGACAATATCATAAAGGGATGTTCGCGGTTTAAATGTCTTAGGAGCAGAGTTAAAAATTCGTGCAAAAGTTTCACAACCTGAATCCGATCTTTTTGGGACATATTCACTTTTTTGGGGATAGTTATACTTCCGTTCCTTCTTTTTATAGGGTATCTCAATGGTGAAAAATAGTGACGATGGGGTTTGGCTGCTTTCACGAATTCTATGCGGAATTTCGGTGCCGTCGTTACAGTCTGTTAAACGAACAAACTCAACAGACTTTTTTCGATCCGCCATGGATTTTCGATGTCTCCTAGTTTTGTGATTATCATATTCTCTGTATGACTTATCAAAATATCGAGGAGGTACTGTCCTAAAGTTTCCTTCCAATCTTTGCATATCGTGATCGATCTTATTGTGGTTATTTCTTTCCGAAACTTCTTCATTAAATTTATATTTTTTGGTGTTTTGCTGATATTTTTTTGGCGGAGCTAGGCGTAAAATATCTTTTGATATTCTGTCGTATTTTATGGGAGCCTCTCTAGTCTCTTTAAAATGATTGCAACTTTTTCTATGTGGCATTTCCTCTGGCTGGTAATATCGTTTACGTCTTTTATATCTTGATTGGCGATCTTCAGGTTTCTTATAATCTTTGAATTTATACTCTCTTTCAGCTTTGTATATTTTTGTAGGGTAGTTCGAAGGGTCGGTAATGTCCTTATTTGAAGAAGACTTGACTTTGTAATACTTTTGTTGGGGTTTTGAAAATTGGGTTGGATGAAGTGACCTGCGGATGGGTTCATTATACTCTCGTTGATCGTAATCGAGTAATTCTTCATACTGTTTTTGGTAGTTTTCATCAGACTGATCGTCGTAATGCTCCTCGTAGTTTGGTTCTAGGTCATAGGATTCCTCATAATCATTATCCTTTTCATGTTCCTTGTAGTTATGGGTATGATAATTTGAAGCATATTCCGGTGGCATATATCCCGAAGTTTGTCTATACTCGCCATTTCTTTTCGGTCGATCAGTAATCGTTCGTAAATCACGTGAAAGAGTTTCTCTATAAGCTCGATTGTAATCTTCCTCTGTGGGCTCTTTATCGTAAAGATAATATCTTTCATGAAGTGTGCGAGGTACTTCACAGTGTCTCCGTGTTGAACTCCGAGCATTCGAATTGTAATCACAAGGACTTTCATATCTGGATTCGGAATTTCTTTTTTCGTAATCGTATTTCTCTGCCTTATATGCTTCATCTGGATAATAATGTTCGTACTCCCTTTCAGTTTCAAAGTCTGGATTGTAGTTACAGCTCCTGATATTGCCGAAATAGTCCACAGAATCGACCGATGGGGATGGAGAAACTAAGCCTGTTTCGACACGACCACGTCCTGGTTTAATCATTCTATAATGAAAGTGACGAGGACTGTCGGAATAGGCAGAGTTATCTCTCCGCCGGCCAGGAGTCCGTCGCTTATAATTCCCATGATCAAAATCACCGTGTCCGTGAGCATAGAATTTATTTGGTGCCCCAAATGACATCGCACTCTCCGTAATTGGATTGCTCAATCCTCCGCCGGGAGTTCGTCCTGTCCATTTGTGTTCGGGTATATATTCGAGTTAGTGGACGTTTGGCAAATGTCGTTAATCAACTCACGCTTTCCATTGCAGTCCGAGGTCCTTGGCGCGGTAATCTCGTTTCGGTGGTCGCAGCACACTCCCCCCGAAATATCGACATTGAAAAACATTAATGTCCGCTTCCATTCATCCTCCTCCTTGGCGCTCTCAAATCGGATTAAACTCCGGTTCGTCACCGTAAATGACATTTTCACCAGCCGCGAAGCTCATGCCCCTACAGTCATCACAAATTTAACTGCAAATTTAATTCATATCGGTTGTTTGTTTATGTCAGTTGGCTCCCTTTTTTTGATACTCTTTTCAAATATGTGTGCTTAAATTAATTATCACTTCGTACTCACAAAATAGTTCATTGGCCAGAAGGGATTTGGGTTTGTCGATTTTTATTTCGTGAAATATTCAGGCACGATTTTTAGAATATAGTTCTCTTAAAAATAACTTGCATTATACATTTTTATTTCTCTATATGGTTTTTTTCTTTCGTAGTGAGAAGTTATTGCTCAAAATGAGGCCTAGGCAACCAAGATCCTTTAACCAAGGTAAACACCGGGTCCTGGCGACTCATTTTATTATCCCAACGAAGGCCATTAACTTTCGCTTCCTTCGCTGTTTGTAGGTCCCGCATTTAATTGCAGGATAAATGCCTGAAATGGCCAAACACAAAGGATGCGCCAACGAGAATGAGAATCTGGATGAGGATGGAATGGTCGTCATTACTTGAAGGGTGCTAGAAAATATGTTTTTAATTGCGGAAATATCTCCATTTCACAAATAGATGCGATAATTATTCAGAATGGCGCGAATTTCCATCACATTAAAAGTGCAGACAATGGGGGATAGTAAAATGCAGCTCGCGGATAATGAAAATCGTGTTCAAGTGCGGAAATGCTGAAAATTATTTCAATGAAACACAACTAAGTGCTTTTTAAGTGCCCCCGACGGTGGCACAAACCAAACGGAAATGGACGCCGACGAGATTGGTTGGGTGTTTTTTTGGGGGGGAGATGGAAGGACATGGTGACAGGACGCGCAGGACACTTACGACCCCCGAACATTATAAAATGCAATGAGAAGCGACAGATGCGTAATGTTCTATGGGGGAAGACTATGGGGCCATTATCGACAAGTAAGTAATTTATTAGGTTCAGGCCACGTATGTCTTACGTTTTGGTATTAATTATATATTTTCAGTGTTATTATGAAATAATCTTTAATACAGAATATCTTAACATAATTATTTTAAAATCACTTATAATGGTTTCATCCTTTTTTTCATGTCCTACTTCTACTTAAGAGATTTTAAAGCCTCTTCATTACAAAGTAGGCTAGCGAAAAATGAGTCAAATTCAAATACATAGCTGGAAAATATTTAAAATGGAGACGATTTTGGGCATTAAGGGAATTGATTTCGTTATTCTGGCCTCAGATACCATGAAAGCAAAGTCTGTGATGTGGTTGGATGATGGTGAGTGGACCCTAGAAGCGTAAGATAAAAATTAAGAAAAAGTATATCTATAGACAAATCGAAGATCCACCGTCTGACAAACTATTCCATGCTGTCCGCGGTGGGCGACGGCGGAGACTGCCTGCAGTTCTCGGACTTCATACTCCGCAACCTGGATCTCTACAAAGTGGCCAACGGCTATGACTTGACTGTTCGCGGAGCGGTGCACTTCATCCGGACCAACTTGTCCGCCTATCTGCGCAGCAACGTCAAGTACCAGGTTTCCATGCTGGTCGGCGGATTCGATCCCACCACCGGTCCAGACTTGACCTACATCGACCACTTGGGCAACGCGGTGCCCATCCGATTCGGTGGCCACGGCTGTGGCATCAACTTTTGCACTCCCATTTTCGAGCATTTCTACAATCCACAGTTGGATATGCGCACCGCCTACAGTATAATCGAAAAATGTGTGCTCGAGATTCAAAAGCGATTCGTTGTCAATTTGCGCAACTTCGATGTGTTCATGATAAGCCGAGAGGGCATTACCAAGATGAATCCCATCAACCAGCAGTCTTTGAGGTCCCGAATAATGGACAATGCCCCGACAAAGAGATAATGATATCAGAATAGAGATTTATATATTTTTTAAAAATAATATGATTAAGAGTTGAAATACTGTTAAAGACTGATATACTAAAATAATAAATAATTACTTTACTACAAAAGACATCTCATGATCATCTAATACGTAACGCAGAACTACAATTTATAAAGCACTTTATGAATTACCTTGCCGTCAAAAATATAAATATTTTTAGTTACCTACTACAAAACTTAAGAATTAAAAAAAATAGTAAGAATAAAAGTGCACCCATAAAAGGTGTATCCTTTCCCAAGATTTGGCTCAGCGTGGTGACTTAGAAAGAATTATATTCGACCTTCTACCCCAGTATAATTACTTAATTTGACACTTAAGTACACGTGGCATATAAGGGTACTATAAAATGGCCAAGCACCAACAGAAGGCGAATCAGTGAAGAGAATACCCCACGAAGACAAAATGAAACTCGCCGAAATCCTCAGGATGGACTACTTTCGTTACCAACTACTCGCCTGGCGATTCAGTGGCTCCTTTGAACTCAGCGAGGGAAACTACTTGAGCTTGGCCTTATTTTGGAACATCGTCGTGTATTTGCCAACGCCTATGGCAATGGCCGCGATGTTTAGCTTCGATGATCCTTTGGAGAATAACTACAACTTCATCATGTCGATCACATCGCAGTCCAATCTGGTTAAGTTCCTGCTGTACGTGACCCAACTGACCAAATTGATCGAGATTCAGAGGATCATTGAACAGCTGGACGCCCGGGTTACCGGGATGAATCAGTTGCTGCGGCACGAAAAGATGTCCAAGCACATGCAAAGGATGTCTAGGTTATTCGTGATCACATATGGTATTGTGTTTATCAATGCAGCGGTTCCTTTTATTTTCGAAACTGAGCGCAGCCTGCCTTTGCCCATGTGGTTCCCCATTCGACTGGAGAAACTCAACGGTTGCCTACATCGCAGCTTTAGCTCTTCAGGAAATCGGAATTTTGTTCCAGATCATTATAAATTGTGCAGCTGACTCCTTTCCTCCCTTGGCCTTGTTCCTGGTTACGGAGCAAGGCCGCCTGCTGAGCCTAAGGATCTCTCAAATAGGATATGGTCCAAGTACTCTGAAAGAGAATGAGCAGGACCTCGTCAAGTGCATTGAGGACCAAAACATGCTATACGGGTAATTCCACTATTTATTTATTGATACATTTCATACTATAATTTCTCTCTTAGCTTACTAGATTTGATCCAAGCAATTATTTCCTACCCCATGATGGTGCAGTTTCTGGCTATTGGTATTAATATCGCGACTAACTTGTTTGGCCTGGTATTCTATGTGGAGAGCCTCTATGATCGCCTTCTCTACGTGTGCTATCTGGTGGCCCTCATCGTAGAGACATTTCCGCTTTGCTATTATGGAACAAAGGTGGAGGAGAGCTTTGCGGAGCTCCACTACGCCGTGTTTTGCAGCAACTGGGTGGAGCAGAGTGCCCAATATCGAGGGTTCATGCTGATCCTGGAGGAGCGCACAAAGAGACAGCAGCTCCTCCTCGCCGGCAACCTGGTGCCCATACACCTAAGCACCTTTGTGGCATGTTTGAAGGGATCTTACTCCTTCTTCACCCTGATGGTCAACAGAAGCGGCAGGGGATCTTAAGACTTACAGAAAAAATTGCGACAAAAATAAAAAGTAGTAGCACACGAGTAGCTAACACAAACACAAGGATATTGTACTGTAGAAATATAGTAGTTATAAGTAAATTGGTCAAATGTTAGAGACTAAAAAAACAACTGTTTGAGGAACATCATCATTGAATCTCCCATTTTTATGCGGTTTGTGGGCGTTCGAATGGGCGTGGCTCTGTGATGAAAGAAAACTGCACAGGAACCACAAGAATCTACGTTCCTTCTACCTGTTACATACTTTTAAACAAACTAAATTTATCCTTTTAATTCACAATTAACCGGTGTAATTTAAAAAAAAAAGTGTGCTGTTTCCCAGGGTTTTGCATTACGTAGTTTTGTGGAAAAAACTGCATTCTACCTCCTACCCCAAAAGAATAATTTAATTTGCCAATTAATAGCCTGAGGCCAATTTTGCAAGTGGGAAGAAAAGGGTGCTATAAAATGGCAAACCACCTTCTAAAATTCAATCAGTGAAAAGTCAAGTGCCATTCAGAATGAAACTCAGCAAGAACTTCAAGATCGACTATTTTCGCAACCAGTTGCTGGCCTGGCGAATCTGTGGGGCCTTACATCTCAGCGAGGGTAACTACAAGAGTTGGGCCACCGTTTCGTGCATCTTCATTTTCCTGCCAGTACCCATGTTAATGATGGTGCTGTTCAGCTTCGATGATCCGTTGGAAAATAACTTCAGCTTCAGCCTGGCTATCGTGGCAATGGCCAATTTCCTAAAGTATTCTCTGTACGTTCCACAACTAAGCAAACTGGACGAGATTCAGATGCTTATTGACCAGCTGGATGACCGGGTATCGGGAAAGGATCAGATACTTCGGCATGGAAGAATTATCCAGCACATGCAAAGGATGTCCAAGCTTGTTCTGATCTCATATGCCTTTGGGCTTATCAGCGCGGCAGTTCCTTTTATTTTCGAAAGTGGGCGCACCATGCCCTTACCCATGTGGCTTCCTTTCGAATGGAAAGATTCCATAATTGCCTATACTGGAGCCTTGGCCTTTCAAGAGATCGCGATGTTCTTTCATGTTGTGCAGAATTATGCAGGCGACTCCTTTCCTCCAATAGCATTGTTCATGGTGTCCGAGCAATGTCAACTACTGATCCAAAGGATTTCCAGCATAGGTTATCGTTTTAAGAATCTGAAAAAGAATGAACGGGACCTCGTAAACTGCATTAGGGACCAAAACACGCTCTACAGGTAAGGACTACCTGTTTAGTTTATTAATACCTTTAATATTTTAATTTCTTTCTTAGCTTGCTGGAATTGGTCCAATCCATGATTTCCTATCCGATGATGGTTCAGTTCTTAGTGACTGGCATTAATATCGCAGTTACCTTGTTTGGACTGATATTTTATGTGGTGCACTTATCGGATCGGATTTACTACGTATGTGTTCTCTTCGCACTTATGGTGCAGACTTATCCTTTGTGCTACTATGGAACAGTTGTGCAGGAGAGCTTTGCGGAGCTCCATTACGCAGTGTTCTGTAGCAACTGGGTGGACCAGAGTGCCACCTATCGAGGGTATATGCTGATCATTGGGGAACGCACGAAGCGGCAGCAACTCCTTCTCGCCGGCAACCTGGTGCCCATACACCTGAGCACCTTTTTGGCATGCTTGAAGGGGGCATACTCCTTCTTCACCCTGATGGCCAACCGAGATGGTCAGACCGCTTTTTAACTAGACGCACGATCAATGTAGTGATGTGTATTCAGTTTTATGAAATAAATCTTAACTTTCTAGCTCTTATAGTAAACGGCTAGTAAACGTTATCAAGTATTCTATACTACATCCACCTATTTTTTACTTTTCAACAAAAAAATATAAATCCTTTACTCGAAAATAGAAAGGTATACTTAAAAGGAGTGTGTACTTATTCCCAGGCTTTTTGCATTACGTGGCTACAATCTACCTCCAACCCCAAGAGAATGATTTAATTTGCCAGTGAATAAGACGTGGCCAATAGAGCAACTGTCAATGAAGGGTGCTATAAAACCGGCAGCTCATGATAGAACTGAAGCAGTGGAAAAAAGACCCCAGGAAGGCTACATTAAACTCTGCGAGACCCACTGGACGATTTTTTGGTGCAAAACATCCTCCAGTGGGTGTCGCAGAGTTTTATGTTTCCCACTTGGGTTATTCTTTTCACTACTTTAGATTTCAGCTTATAGTTATACATTAAATATTATAGTTTCTTTCTCAGCTTACTGAAGTTAATTTAAACTACGATTTCCTATCAGATTAAAGGACACTTTTTAGTTATTGGCATTAGTATCGTGTTAGTATTTAGTATTAGTATTGGCTTGATATTCTATGTGGAGACCCTAACGGACAGAAAGTTCTACGATTCCGTTGGCCCGCACAGTGCAGACATATCCACTGCGTTATTAAGGAACCAGGGCGGAGAAGAGCTTTGTGGATTTACTCTACGCGGTCTTTTGCAGCAATTTTGTGGACCAATGCGGCACCTATCGAGGATACATGCTGTTCTTGAAGGAGCGCACCAAGCGACAGAAGATCTTATCGAAGGCAAACTGGGCTCATCCTTTTAAGCACCTTTTTGGCCTGTTGGAAGGGAGATTTCTCCTCTTTCACCTTAATGGCGGAGAGAAGTCGTCGACAAAACAAGTAGTAGCAGAAAATGTTTGTAGCTTATTTAATAAATGTAATAAATATTTAGATAATCGTATTCAGTGCTTTGTGGTTGATTTAAAAAAGGATTCCGAGCAATGCTGACTCTTCGCACCTCCAACAATAATTATGGATCTAAGACTCTATTTATTATTTTATTGTTCTTAGCTTACTGGAATCTATACAAAGTATGATTTCCGTTGATAGTGCAGCTTTTAGTTATTGGCATTAGTATAGTGGGCACCTTATATATTCGGTTTTAGTACGTGTGCTTTCTCTTAACCCTCACAGTGCAAACATATCCACTGTGCTATTACGGAACCAGGGTGGAGGAGAGCTTTGCGGAGTTGCACTACGCGGTCTTCTGCAGCAACTGGATGGACCAAAGCGCCACCTATCGTGGATACATGCTGATCCTGGAGGAGCGCACCAAGCGAAAGCAGATCCTTCTCGCCGGCAGACTGGTGCCCATTCTTTTAAGCACCTTTGTGGCCTGTTGGAAGGGAGCCTACTCCCTTTTCACCTTGATGGTGGACAGAAAAAACCATTTCGTCAACACAGACAAGCAGCTAAAGTAAAAAATGTAATTAAATGCAAGCACTTAAATAAATTTAGATACAAGTTTCGCGTCTATGGAAAATTTTATACAATTGTGTATGAAACATACTTTATTTTGTTGGCCCATCAAATATATAAAATGTTAAAAACTTGGTATTTACAGTATTTAACTTATTTGAACTTTTTTTCTGAATACGACTGAGTTCGACACGATGAAGCTGTAGTAAGTCTTCAACAATACCCGCTGCTGAATGCTTTTGTGGATCATTAAAATATATAAGATGCACCAAAACATCGAGCAGAGGGTCTTGCTGACTCCAAGTTTGTCCCTCTAGGGTCTTCCTTTCACTGCTTCAATTGTAGCATGTGTTATAAACCCTTTAATGCCGTTTGCACTGTTAGCCACGTGCTATTAACTTCCTAATTAAATCATTATCTTGGGATTGGAGGTCGAATGTCAAAGCCATGTAAGGGCTAAAACTTGGGAAAAAAGACACACGCTGTTTCATCACTTTTTTGTTGCTTCACTCTGGACGGCAATCCACATAGTGACGAATCGCACCGGAAGTGTGTGCGAGAAGACTAATAAGTATTGCCGCAGAACTAAAAGTCAGACATTGAAAGGGGTTATTGTGTCGCCAACTGTTCCGCACGGAATCAATCCGGCTCGAAGGACCAAAATGAAAGGGTATCCTGTAATATGAAAAAACAACCTCCACTTTTGAGTTCTGTGTTAAAACTGATTTTATTTACTAAGTCTTCGTTTACATAAGTGACATAAGTTACAGAGATCGGTATTTACGTCTCTAGATCAACTAACATATTGACATGTACCGAACTCGTAAAGTCTTCTATTTATTTTTCTTGAACATTAATTATACCCGTTACTCGTAGAGTAAGAGGGTATACTAGATTCGTGCAAAAGTATGTAACAGCTAGAAGGAAGCGTTTTCGACCCCATAAAGTATATATATTCTTGATCAGGGTCACTAGCCGAGTCGATCTAGCCATGTCCGTCTGTCCGTCTGTCTGTCTGTCTGTCTGTCCGTCTGTATGAACGCTGAGATCTCAGAAACTACAAAAGCTAGAAGGTTGAGATTTCCAACACATATTCTTTGGCTTCCTAAGCAGCGCAAGTTTATTTTAGCCGAGCGCCACGCCCCCTCTAACGCCCACAATCGCCCACTAACGATTTTAAAATGGGTCCTGCGCCCACATCTTTAAAGATTTCCGAGAAGTATAAATGCAATTTTGTTGTGTATATTTATACATATCAAAATGTAGAAGACATTTTTCAAATCGGACCATTCATTAAAAAGTTATACGCAATCAAAAATTATATATCTATCTCCCTCGCACTCCCTTTAGCTGAGTTACGATTATTAGTCGGGACACCAACCCGACACAGCGTTCGCACTCCCTTTAGCTGAGTGACGGATATTAGATAGTCGGGACAACAACCCGACTATAGCATTCTCTCTGGTTTTTCATTCAAGAGTGCCGAAAAAGACAAATTTGGAAAGTGTTTTTATGTAGTTATAAGGTTGATTTCGCCACTTTTTCATGTTAAAGGTGCGATCGTCACTAGTTTTTTACCTCCAGAGGTGTTTTTGCTTTATGAAGCAATTAAAATTGGTTGAAGGTGGGGTGTTTCCCTAACCAGTGTGAAGTGGTGGATCCCGGATTTGGTTGTGCGGGGGGTTATGTAGAACATATTGGTTTTGCATACTTTTTGAATGGGGGAACTTATCCCCCAAAAAACTATAAAAAAGAGTGTCCTATTTCCCAGGAACTAACCAATTTTCTACCTCAATTTAATGATTTAATTAGCCAGCGAAAAACCGTGGCTTTTTTGCAACTGACATGAAAAAGGGTGCCATAAAATGGCCGACGCCTTGCCAGAACTCAATCAGTAAAGGACAAGAACCAGACAGAATGAAACTCAGTAAGAACTTTAAGATCGACTATTTTCGCGACCAGTTGCTAGCCTGGCGGATCGGTGGAGTCATAAAACTCAGCGAGGGAAACTACTGGAGTTGGGCGATGGCTTTGAACATATTTGCCTTCCTGCAGACGCCCTTGTATATGAAGGCTATGTTCACCTTTGAAAATCCGATAGATAATAACTACAATTTATTCCTGACCATCACCTGGCTGTCCACTCTTTCGATGTTTATGATGTACGTTTCCAAAGTTAATAAGATGGTGGACATTCATTGGCTTATATCCAAGCTGGATGCCCGGGTATCAGGCGATGACCAGATATTGCAGCGCAGGAAAATGACCAAGCACCTGCAAATAATGTCCAAGGTTTTCCTGGTCTCCTATGGCATCGTCTTCATCAACGCGTCGATGGCTTTTTTCCTTAGAAGTGAGCGCAGCTTACCGCTCCCCATGTGGATTCCATTCGACTGGAAAAACTCAATGGTAGCGTATATCGGGGCCTTGGTCTACCAGATCACCGGACTTTTTGTTAATATTCTCCATAACTATTCCGGGGACTCCTTTGCTCCCATGGCCTTGCTCCTAATTTCGGAGCAATGCCAGATTCTGGCCCTGCGGATCTCCAGCCTAGGATATCGCACAAAGAATTGGAAAAAGAATGAACGGGATCTTGTCGACTGCATCAAGGACCAAAACACGCTCTACAGGTAAACCCTCAATCGGTCTATCAACTCTTGTAAACTTTATTTTGTTTCTAATTCCATCCAAGATTACTCGACGTGGTACATAGCATGATATCGTATCCAATATTGATACAATTCGTTGTCATTGGCATTAGTATCGCCGTGACACTGTTTGGCCTAATATTTTATATCCAGACCTTGTTGGAACGTATTTTCTACGGCAGCATCCTGGTGGGCCTGACCTTGCAGATATTTCCAATATGCTATTACGGAACCAAGGTGGAGGAGAGCTTTGCTAACCTCCACTACGCGGTATTCTGCAGCAATTGGGTGGGCCAGAGTCCCAAATATCGGGGGTACATGCTCATCCTGCAGGAGCGAACGAAGCGACAGCAGATCCTCCTCGCCGGCGACGTGGTGCCCATCCACTTGAGCACCTTTGTGGCCTGTTGGAATGGAGCCTACTCCTTCTTTACACTAATGACGCACAGAAGTGGCCTGGGCTCGTGAGCCCAAAGGAACCCGAAAGCAGTGCACACGAGTAGCTAATAGAAGCACGCAAAGCACAAAACTACCTAAAAAGAAATAGTTTCAATTAAATAAATCGTTACATAGAATACTATTAACTTCTTAAAAAATAAATATGTAACAGGACGCGTTTCCATTCGTTGGAATGAGGTCTATACATATTTTGTTGATTTCTCTAGAACTGGATATCAGGATGAAATTATAGTTCATTTTTAAACCCATTACTCGCGGAGTAAAAGGGTATGTTGTATTCGTGAAAAAGTATGCAAGAGGTAAAAGGATCTTGATCAGAATCACTGTCTGTCTGTCTGTCCGTCTGTCCTTCTGTCTATCTGTCTATCTGTCCATCTGTCCATCTGTCCGTTTGTCCGTCTGTCCGTTTGTCTGTCCGTATGAACGCTGAGATCATATTTTTAATGCTAAAACGAAAAATTAAACTGAAATGTATTCGTTTCGTCAATACCTATCGATTGACTTAAAAAAAGCTTGCCACGCCCACTCTAACGCCCACAAACGCACTGAACGCTTGGAAAGAGTGTTGTTTTTCCCAGGTTTTGTCTATTACGTGGCATCGTTGATAGAATTACCTTCGACCTTCTACCTCAATATAATGATTTAATTTGCCAATTAATAGCACGTGGTCAATTTTGGAACTGGCAAGAAAAGGGTGCTATAAAATGGCAAACCATTTTCCAAAATTCAATCAGTGAAAAGTCAAGAGCCAGTCAGAATGAAACTCAGCAAGAACTTCAAGATCGACTATTTTCGCAACCAGTTGGTGGCCTGGCGAATCTGTGGGGCCTTGCATCTCAGCGAGGGTAACTACAAGAGTTGGACCTCCGCTTTGTGCATCTTCATTTTCCTGCCGGTACCCATGTTAATGATGGTGCTGTTCAGTTTCGACGACCCCTTGGAAAATAACTTCAACCTCAGCCTAGCTATTGTATCAATGGCCAATCTCCTAAAGTATTCTCTGTACGTAACGCAGCTAAGCAAACTGGACGGGATTCAGACCCTTATTGGCCAGCTGGATGACCGGGTATCGGGAAAGGATCAGATACTTCGGCACGAAAGCATGACAAAGCATATGCAAAGGATGTCCAAGCTTGTTCTGATCTCATATGCCTTTGTACTTGTCAGCGCGGCGGTTCCTTTTATTTTCGAAAGTGGGCGCACACTGCCCTTACCCATGTGGTTTCCTTTCGAATGGAAAAATTCCATAATTGCCTATACTGGAGCTTTGACTTTTCAAGAGATCGGGATGTTCTTTCATGTTCTGCAGAATTATCCAGGCGACTCCTTTCCTCCAATAACATTGTTTCTGGTGTCCGAGCAATGTCAACTACTTATCCAAAGGATTTCCAGCATTGGCTATCGTTCAAGGAATCTGAAAAATAATGAACGGGACCTTGTAAACTGCATCAGGGACCAAAACACGCTCTACAGGTAAACCCTTTAATCAATTAATAAAAGTTTCAATTTAAAACCTTTAATATTTTAATTTCTTTCTTAGCTTACTGGATTTGACACAAAGCATGATTTCCTACCCCATGATGGTTCAGTTCTTAGTGACTGGAATTAATATGGCAGTGATTTTGTTTGGCCTGATATTCTATGTGGAGCACTTATCGGATCGGGCTTACTACGTCTGCATTTTGTTTGCCCTTATGGTGCAGACTTATCCTTTGTGCTACTATGGAACCGTTGTGCAGGAGAGCTTTGCGGATCTCCATTACGCAGTGTTCTGTAGCAACTGGGTGGACCAGAGTGCCACCTATCGAGGGTATATGCTGATCATTGGGGAACGCACGAAGCGGCAGCAACTCCTTCTCGCCGGCAACCTGGTGCCCATACACCTGAGCACCTTTGTGGCATGCTTGAAGGGGGCATACTCCTTCTTTACCCTCATGGCCGACAGAGATGGTCAGTAATTGAAGAATTATAAAATATTCCTATTCGGCGTCAGAAGAGAGTGCTATTTTTCCAAAGTAGAATTATATTCCATCTTCTACCCCATGACAATTAGTAATTTTTAATTATATAGAAAGGTATTTTATAATAACCTATCACGTAACTCGAAAAAATAGTTGGCATTTGATTTCACTCACATTGAAGAAAAAAAAATAACACGGAACACGAATAGTCACAATAAACATACACAAATTGTACGGCAAAGTAACTTTTCAATTAAATTCATTGTTACCATGGCGATGGAAACTATTTTGGGGATCAAGGGACCAGACTTTGTGATGCTGGCCTCGGACACAATGCAGGCCAAGTCACTGGTCTTCATGAAGGATGGTAAATATAAATCATCCATTTAAAATGGAGCACATAATAAAGCTATTATAGATCAGTCAAAGATACACCGACTCTCGGACTTCAATATGATGGCCATGGTGGGAGACGGAGGCGATTCGATTCAGTTCACGGACTTCATCTCAAAGAACATGCACCTGTACAAGATTGCCCATGGATACCACCTGAGTGCCAAGGCGTCGGCCCACTTCACCCGGAAGACACTGGCGGATTACATAAGGACCAATACGAGGTACCAGGTGGCCATGCTGTTGGCGGGATATGATGCCGTCGAGGGTCCTGACCTCCACTACATTGACACCTACGGCGCAGCTCAGTCCATCAATCATGCCGGACATGGATGGGGAAGCATGTTCTGCGGCAGCATTCTGCAGCGGTTCTGGCACTCGAAGATCAGCCAAACGGATGCCTACTCCCTGATGCGGAAGTGCGTCCTGGAGATCCAGAGGCGTCTGATCATCAACCAGCGAAACTTTCGAGGTGTTCGTGGTGGACAGCAAGGGAATGCGCAAGATGGAGGCCATCAATCCGGGATCTCTCAGCAGGGAGTCGATTAGCCTGACTTGGTAGAGCGGTAGTCCAACATCCTCTAATGCCTAATAATTGTGCCGTTGATTTTTCGGCAAACTTTCACTGCGATGCTCTGAACAATTTCCCAGGGATTAGACGACGTGACCAGTTCGGATTTGAGTGGCCGGGAGGAGGGTTAGCCGGGTGGTTGCTACATGCCACGGTCGACTGCCTCCGTGTATTAGCATATGTGGCCTGCTCTTGTTCTCCATGCGAGCCATCTGTCTGAATGTGGGTGGCTCAGTGTTTGTTTGCGCAACAATGACAAAAGTGCCACTCGAAGAAAAATTGTAAAAATAATATCAATCTGAAATTATGATTTTAAACGAACAATAAAATGTATACAAATGCAGTTTACAAAATTCCAAGCCTAAATAGTGAATTTGAAATTTAGTTTACACTTGAAAGCCAACTATTAAAAACTTTACTAATTTTAAAGATTTCCTGTCAAAGCGACTAGTGGGAGAAATTTCTCTTAAAGTTAACATTACTTTGAAAAACAATTATTATAATTATTTACTCACTTAATTTCCAGTTTTCTCCAAGTGCACACTTCACATATATGAAACGTCAACGGCTGCGAATCGAAAGCAGAAAAGCCAACATGTCTCTATTTCCCATTTGAACAGCAGTCCGTCAGGATGTCCTTGGTTCGGATTTGGAGGAGTGCCTGGTGGAGATGGGAACGGGAGATGGGGAGTCGTCAGCAGAACTCATAAAAATGAGCACAGATTGCTGCAAAAATGCACTGCATTGTTCGTTGCTTAGCTGAGGTCTCCGAGTCGAGGGTTTTTCGAGCTCTCCCGCCTGAATTTTCCTGGATTTCTATGCCAGTCAGCGGGTTTTGTTTGTCTGCCAGCCGTGGCAGTTGCCATTGCTAATTGGCCGCACATGACAAAGTATCGCCAATTGAGTGGCTTGCCCACTTGCGGTGATCGGAACCATGAAATGTCAACAATGACAAAGGAAAAGGCAGCGGTCAAGGATTCCTAATTTGAGATGGGTTTGAATTTAAAAACGGGTTTCTTAAATTCTTCATTTATTCCAGAGAGTTAATGGGGGAGAGTTTTAAAAAATCACCCTTTTTAACTAGAAATAAAGTACCTACATAATTAATTCTTCGTTAGTTTATCATGTCGTCTAAATTTATTCTTCCGTATTCTTTGTATTTTTAAATTTTATTTTAGTGGAATCGATAACAGCGAATTTACATTATTTACGTAGAATTTGCATGGGATTCCATGAAAGGGCATATATTATACATTTGTGTATCCATATAGAATGCCAATTTAAATATTTGTTTTATATATGCATTTTTTGTGCAGCTCTTCTCATCACATGAAATGCATGCCATTAGAAATTAATTAGCAATTTATGTAATGGTCAAAAAGCAAAGTTCAATAATATTTATCAATCTAGTCATGCATAACCGTGATTGAAATTTAATTGATTTATGTGAAAACTAATAAAAACTCATGAGCAGAAAAAAAAACAAATATAATCAGTTATTTTTACGGCTATTCGTTTTTCTTTTAAGTTTTCCCGTCGCAGTAAAAAGTTTTTTGCAGGAAACTTTTGACATGTGAGCGTCTCAAATGAACGCGCCTGTCTCAGGACACCTGTCCCTCCCTTTTTTCCCCACCTGAAGCTGTGAAATATATTCACATCCTTGTAGAGAAATAACTTTGGGGGAGGGAGGAGCGAGATAATGTGCATGTAACCCCCGAGTCACTCCCCCATTTGCCACCACCTCCCAAACAAACCGACCATTCCAACCGGCAAGGGCGTTTAAGGGCGCAACGAGGCAGCGACTTCCTGACAGGACATTAACTTTCTCGCATCTTCGGAGTCGCTCCATCCGACTGTCTCGCTGTTTGCCATTCGCCGTTCTGTTTGCGTGTGACGACTCTGATGATGATTCATGATGATGATCCTTGCAGTTTTCCTCGCTGTCATTTTTCATGGCCTCGGGGGCCGTGGCCTGGGTTAGTTGCCTTTTTCGACAGCCTATTAGTTTTTATTATTTGCTGCAATTAGTTTTTCGGCCTCGGATGCTCGGCAGCTCGACTGCTCAGCTCTCCACGCTTATGACACTTTTCTCCACATTTTTCAACAGAATGAGCGTCATCTGTTGCCGCCAGCAATGTTTCGTAGTGTGCACTCAAAAAAATAACTAGCAGTGTCATCAAAAAAAATTCTTAAAGACTTAAAAGGTTGTTTTGTAAAGGAGTTCACAATTAAAAACTTTTTATACATTTTTTATATTTTAAAAAAAAGTTCATAATTTAAATAATTTTCTTTCGCTGCTCAAAAAATAGTTTTGAGACTTTTAAGAACCATTTTCTGAAGTTAAAGAGCTTCTTGGACGATTTAGCAATAAGGAATCTTTTTGTACACCTTATTTTTAACTAACCCACGACCTGTTTTTTCCCAGTGTAGCTGCTGAATCTGCTGTTTTTCTCGCCGGCATTGACAAGAGCCAAACAATGGCCCGCTGGCTGGCTGGCTGGTATCTATGATAAATTATGGCCAAAAGTCAAAGTCATCAATCAGTGGGCCATGTTTTATTTGCCGCCCGCGGCCATTTGCCATTTGTTTTGGGCCAAAACCAGAGGCATATGCAGCCGGGAGGGAGGAGTTTCAGGAGTAGGAGTAGCAGCAGCAGGACCAAAACGGCCAGAAAGGATTAAATATAAATCGGAGATGCGTAGACGACGGTGGCACAGGTGTCGGTGGCCGGACGACAAGCATTTCGATTTAATTTTCATTAAAATTCAGGCATTAAATATGCAAAGGGTAAACTGCGGCAACGAGGTCCTCGCAGCGAACGGCCAAAGCCCATTAAAATTCCTTAAAGACTTTGCCGCCGGGGCCAGGTGACTCCTTTTCATTCTCGAGTGCTTATTAAAATTGCAAAGGTCCAGGATTTGCGGACATTATGATGCGGTGGCTGCGAATTTATGCCGAAACGGAGCGGTCGACAGTCGACATCAGCTGCGTTTTCGTTCCCCGGCTGTTTAATTATGCATTTTTATCTGGAAGTTGTTGGGGCAAAGGCCAAGCCGTAAACCGCTGCCACTTTGCCACTTGAGGTATGAAGGCGGAGAATCCACGGCGTAAGCCAAGAATAACCGAACCGAAGCGTGAATAAGCCATGGCTTCCAACTGAGTGACAGATATCCGGCAACGTGGCGTATACGCAATTTCTGATTGAAAGTGTGTGAGTATCACGATATCTTGGGTTTTGTTGTCGCCACCAGGAGACGCTCTCGCATCCCGACAATTGACAACTAAAGTTGCAATTAGGAGCTGTGCCAATCCTTTTTTGTACCTTTTTTTTCAACCACCTTCGCCGCAGGATTACCGAATAAAAAAGGAAACTTTTTACGACAAAACACCTACCTACACGCACTCGAACGGATGGAGGTTTTAGTTATGCAGGGAAATGCCTTGGGGAAATTAGCGAAAAAGGTAAATGTTTTACGGAAACATTCGTTCCAATAGCTTTGTTTTGTGCGAGCAGTTTATAGCACCCAGTTACATCATTTGGGAAACCTTTAAAGAAGTTCGTTAAAAATTAAAGTGGGTGTTTAACTAGTTGTTATTTCATTTTGTGTTTTTTTATAATAAAAATGTTTCTTTCCCCTTCGGTTATTTTAAAAAAAGGCTTTGGTTTTCCAGATAGCTGGCCTGTAAGTGGCCTAAAAAGTATCTATTCTCCAGGGACGAAGGCAGCCATTGGATAAGCTCACTGCCAAAATTACAACTGGCATTACAGCAGCGTCCAGTCACCGATAAACGGCCTATAAATCACCCACTTGGCCAGCGATCGCGTCAATATTCGCCTCTTATGCAACCAATTTTATTTCGTTGCACTCGACGGGCATAAATCACGACTCGTGATGGCTGAAAACGGCGGGAAATTGGGTGAGGATGCTGTTTCTGCAACAAAATGTCCCGGCATTAAACACCAACGATGGCATAATTTATGGGAGTGCCGGATTCCAGGCTCGCGATGCCCGGAGACAGATGTGACATCACCAGTGACCATCGTGACATTAATGCGGCCCTCCAGGCGTGAGCTTTCCGATGCTAACGGATTGCCATCGCGAAAATTAAAGAGTGACCCCCAGTGCTATTTTGATTAACTCGTCGGTAATTCGATACATTTATTTTCCCTTGTCTATTTAAATATTTCTTAAAAAAGCAACAAATTAAATAAAGACAAAATTCTCACCTTTTCAAGAAGAAGTTTCTTTTAAAGCGATCTTGCGATAATTTCGTGGACTATCTCTTTGTAAAAGTCCCCAAATTTCCTGCTAGGATATATCCTCCTATATATTTATTCACCTCTTTCCCTCGATCCTTTGCGACAGCTATAAGCCAACATTTACGCTCGACCATTGTTCGTCGAAAAAGTTCGCATGTGTCCATGTGATGAAGTCCCTTTCCTGCATCCCTTGCAAGTACATCCATGTTAATAATCCTTCTGCCCGGGTACTTCACGCACTGCAGTCGAACTGGAAAATAAAAAAAAAGTAATAGGGAACGGCGCATAAAAAGTTGCAGTTAAACTTTTCAGCATTTGTCAGAGTCAGAGGATTTGTTTGCCTTTGGGGCTGGCCAAAGCCAACATCCTGACGGCATCCTGGGCCTGCTCCTTCGCCTCGAAGGATATTTGCCCCCCATCGCACCACTCCACTCCACTCCACTCCGTTCCGTTTGTTTGTTTGTTTATTTTGCTCGTTCGTCCCACTATTTGTTTTCTTTCCAATTTTGTAATTTCAAACTTTTTCTATTGATTTCTTGGCACGCATGAACACCTTCAGCAGAAACGACAGCCAGCAAAGTTGCCAAGTTCCCTTGGGGAGGGGTGGGGATTCAATTTAAGTTGCGGGGACTCCCCCATGATGACCATGCGTGGCACATAGTGCACACAGGAAAAAGAAAAGAGTCCATAAAAATACTAAAAAGAAATGAGGGAAACGAAAAGAAGGCGAAGGAGGAGTGAGAAAAGTTTCCAATGCACTTAACACTCTGTTTCGAAGGATGGAATCGAGGAAAAACTGTCAGTGGCATTGGCAACACATTTATTAATGTGTCAATCGGATTGAAGACTTTCCAAAGCCAACGGAAAACGATAAAGTTTTTCGACGGAAGAAGATCCGTGGCTAGGATTACGGCTTTCGTAGCGACAAATTATAAAAAATTAGTTTGGTCGGTGTTTCGTATTGGATAATAAAACCTATAGAACCTTTGCAATAGAAAACTATAAAGCGGTAAAGATTTTGATCAGTTACCTGGTTGATTTAATCAATTTTCCAGCAAAAATGGAAACATTAGGGACCACAAAATGATTACATGACCCGTTCCCGAGTCCCAGAGCCGCCACCCCATCCCCTTTTCAATTCCCAGCCGAAAAGGAATTGTAATTATTCGAATTGTTACTCGTCGCTTGCCTAATGACTATTAGCTAAATGAAAACATTGCGTGCCGGCGACATTTTATTCGAGTGCACCACCAACCCACCCGAAAAGCACCCCCAAAATCACCCGCACCACCGGGAGCTTTATTTGCTATATTTCATGCCTGCCTGCACTTATCTCCGATTGTCCATCGGACGGGCTCTGGGGTTCTGAAACCGCCGACTGACTCCGGCAAATGTAATTTGGCTTGGCCGGCGCTTCGATTCCACTTTATGTTCTAATTACTTGCACAACACAAAAACGCCACTTCAATTTGAATTAGAATGAGTGGGCACCACCGCCTGCGGAGGTGGAGGTGGTTCGGTTCCGCCCCCAAATCCGCCCCGCCTCCCGATCCCGGGGTTAAACCCTTATCCTGGCCACAGTTGGCGCCACAACTTTTAATTACAGCAGCGCAAAATTGCAGATGCACTGCCGCGACGGTCTGGTCCCTAGGCCCCACTTACAATTCCATTCCAATTCCTATTCGTAGTCCCATTCGTATACCTATTCCAAATCCCCAAACCGAAACCCCAAAGCAATGGCCGTGGCAATGGCAAATCCAAAAAGCATATTAATTGCGCACTGCGTAGGCGTCGCCTGTAATGGTCTATAATCGATTTAAGCACGGGCATTATGTGGGCTAGGGTCTAAATTGCAATTTCGTGTATGACAAATGGGTTTTTGGGTTTCTGGAAAGTACACTCGGAAATAACCAGGAATTGCTAAAAATACTACATGAAAATAAACCGTACATAATGCAGATCTTACGATTTCAAAACCAAATTTATTATTTTGAAATCATTTATATAGGTGCCTAAAAATAGGCAACACTATACTTTAAGTCTGATACATTTTTTAAGCAAGAATTTTTAATTCTCGATGCATACTTTTAGACATCTTTATAAAAGTTGTGTTTTTAATATTTCCTTTAAAAATATATCTATTTCGCAGAGTGTATTAACTGAATTTTCAAAATGGGCTGGACGAAGCCAATGAAATTTAAATCGAGTTAGCTTAGTAGCTATTTTTGCATGTATTCCGAACAAAGGGAAAAGCCAATCGATATTTTCCCATTCGTTCAGTATCTTGGCTTGTGTATCTTTGGTTATTTGGTTATCCATCACAGAGTTCTCTTCCAATTAGAAGCTGTTGCGCGTAGCAATTGACCATTAAAATCAGTCTGAGAAAGACAGTGGTCCCCAATCTGCATGGCCACAAGTGTGTGGGTGGGTTGATAGGTGGTTACGTCTGATATATGGAGTAAACCACCCAGGGCTCGTTATTGTTGCCGTTGGCTTCGCCGTCAATTGCAGCTGGTGGTGGTGGCTGCACCACAAAATTCAACGCAATTTGTAAAATGAAATCGATTCAATTGATTGTTGACTTCGACAAACACACACCCACATCCACAACCCGGTATCCTGGCAGGACCAGGACCATCATCCTGCAATTGGAAGGCATTGCAGGCGACGATGGTGACAGGTGTCTGGGGGTGGACGTGTTCATATCCTTGTCGTCCTGCCATATATATACACATACAGACACACACAGTTCACAGCACACACGCGCGTGTGTGCACTGCACTTTGCTTGATTAAATTTCAATATTTACTAAAATGTCGCCGAACTCTTTCTGACAGCTCTGTAAATTTCATAACCGGAATCGACATAAAATATGGTCAACTGGGTGTAAATATAAGCTTGACAAGCGCATAAGTTGACTGAAATGTCCCGCTTTTTTATTCCATCCATACCGCCTTTGTTGCTGGTAATTTGTTATAGTTTGTCATGTGCTTACAGCAACAAATGGGTTGAAAGGGGCCATAATCATCTAGATTTCATGACTAACTGATATGCGGGCTTTGTAGGGGCATCAGATGGCCAAAGCAATTACTCAGACGAGTGAAAGACAGGATTAACGTTTTGCTTTCGCCAATCAGGGTGATTCATTTGCATTCATAATTCCGAATTATAAAAACAAATGGAGGAATATTTCATCTCTTATTATTTATGCATTCGCTGATTGATAAATACGAGGCGGTAAAACACCTTAATGACACTACGTTATGGATTCTGTATCAGTTATTGGGATAAATGAATATTAAACAACGGTATCTGAATCGTTAAAATGATTATGGGTTTCTTTTAAAGCTGTAAGATTGGGTTTCAGCTTTGCTTTTGCCTTCAGAGTGACTTTTTTACATTAATAATTCTGAATAACAAAACTCTAAAAGAAAACTTTGAAAAAATAGATGTAAATGGATTCTATGATTAATAAATTCAAGGACCTAAACCACCAGGATGATGATGAGGAGTGGGTTCTGAACCATTTTATCGCATACTTTCGTTTTTAATAATTTCCCATTTACAGAAATGACACAAAACCTGTTTACCCCAAGGATAAAAAAGAAACTGATGATAAAATATCGAATATAGCGAAACTATTCAATGAACTTAGCTTAAATGGTGGAAGTTCTACAAAGGAAGAGGCGGGGATCAAAAAAATGAAGCCGGAGACTTGCAATGCCAATAACTACCCTTATAGGAATTACTTTAACAACAGTTTAACAGAGTTTCCCTGGGAAAAGGTCTTGGAGAAGGGCGATTCAGTGGGAGCCGACTTTGATATTGATTATGAAAATATATTCGAGGATGTAAGCAAGCTATCTAAGGTGGAGAAACATTTGCAGTTGCTCTACAGACCCTTCACTTGTGCCATGGACGCCAATTGCCGGTACAATATGTATGAGCTGTGCCTCCTGATGGCCGATTCCCGCTACGATCCGGGTAGTCATCCCTCGGTGGTCGTGAAGGTGACCCATCCCAGTGCCCAGGTGAAGATCCATGCGGCTGGAAAGATTGTGGCCACCGCATTAAATGCCGATTCGGCCAGGAGTGCTCTGTTTAAGGTGATCAGGATCCTGCAGGATCTAGACTACAAGGCGGACATGAAGAACTTTACCAAGAGCATCGTGAATGCCTCCTTCAGCATGCCCTTTAAGCTCGACCTGGTGCTGATGAGCCGTCTGCATGCGGAGGAGGTGACCCACAACCGGAACAAGCGACCCTTTATCACCTACACCGACGAGAAAATAGGCGTGAGATTTGCAGTCTTTCCCACGGGATTCGTATTGGTCCTTCACTCCACCAGTCACTCTGAAACGCGTGAGGCCATTGCGGCAATTCTGCCAATCCTGGCCAGATTCAAGAATGGATATCCCACAACTGCGGAAAAGGAGGGTTTACTGGTGGGCGATCTGTCTTACAAGTTGCTGTGGGAAAAGAGGTTGGAGGAGGACAAGGAGGGTCTATTGCTCTACTCTTGAAATATTTTGTAGATTCATATCTGAAGAAGCATTAAATGAAGCATTAAATTACGTATTTATTTCTTTTGGATAAGTAAGAATATAAAATTCCTTTTTCCTTTTGGATATTCACTTCATATCATCATTTATGTGATATCCTAATTTACTTATAATCGGAACGGAGATTCCAAGATACCGAGTATCCTGTTATCGCTTTGTTTCGTCCTGCGAAATGCTGCGAACATTTGTCATAAACCAAAGTTCTGCACGTGCCCTGTTTACACTCGCCAGCAAAGTTGGGCAACTTGTTTAAATACGTGATTTATTCGAACGCCAGCTGCTGAGCGACCGCCGAACAACCAGTGACACTCCACTCCGGCCAACCACTACCACTATATAGATGGTATAGGGCCTAGGCCCGGGGCCAAAGTTTCACCAAACACTCGCTGAACAAAAACAAGAAACAAATGACCGAAGAAGTTGCAACTACGAACTGCAACAGGCGCATACATAAATAACGAAACATTTTCGCACACTTGCCGCAACTTTCCCGGGAAAATGTCACATTATGCGGAACAAGTGGCCGCCTTGAACACGTTTCCGACGTGCTACAGCACCTTCCCAAGTGCTCCGGACACCCCAGACTTTTCCCCAGAACTTTTTAGTTGAAAACCTAACGGGAAGTCATACATTTCGTATTTGCGTAATTACCACAGGTGGAATGGAAGGTGGGAAAGCAGGGAAAATAAAAATTGTTAAAATAGGTATTTTTGTCAAATTTTGAATAAAATGATGAGATGCTATCCACCTAAAATGTTTTTGTAAATTTAGCTAAAAACCCTCTGTTAAAAGACAGATATATCAGAAGCATTTTAAAAATTTTCTCACAGACTTTTGGAAGATATTTATTACATGACATTCTCCTTTTGATAACTTTTTCTTGTTTTTCCAAGTCTACAACAAAACTTTGTTCATTAAATGTGCACATATCTTGCAATTTCAGTTGGTTGGAATCTTTTTACCACTCTAATGCCCTTCCCAAAGAAAACTCCAACAAAGTTATCGTATGCACATAGAAGAAACCCTAATGTGCCAGAGGTTATCGAAATTGGACAAAAAGAAATTGCGATGGAAGAGCAAAATAATACGCAATTTATCTATTTTCGGTTGGAGGTAGGCAAACTTCGTTGCCCCAAAGCGCTTTTTGGCCAAAAATATGCTGGGAAAGGCAAGAGAGCTGAGAAAATGGAGGGAAAACTACCGATACGATACGATGATGTGGTGGCAATCGAGCCAGGGAATCCGGGGAATCCGATTAAAAAGTTGAACCATCAAAGTTTAAGAAAGGAGATGAGCGGGCTGGAGATTATGAATTATGCATTCTTGGCCAGGGACTTTTTGCTTCAAAGCCAAAGCTAAAAATTATCCACTCGCTCGGTTAACGAAAAAGGGTTGCGGCTGCCTTTGAAGATTAGACAAGTTTCCTGGGAGTCCGCAGAGTAACTGTTTTCGCATTTATAAGTGAGCATAAACTGCATAAGGGGCGAAACCGTATTGAATTCGAAATGAAAGGAGTGCCTGGGACAAGGCGTCCTCCACTCTCATAAGGATTTAACAACAGTGTGTCAACGAAACTCCTGCCCATTTCCATTTTGTGTCTGCGGTTAACCGCAAAGATTTTACTCTCGAAAAGGTGTCGCAAATGGACTTTTGCAATTTTAATAACTACTCAAAGTGGCAAACTGGTTCGTTAACTAGCCGCACACACACACACACCCCTCGAGGTCCTGTGCTGCAACGAAGGACTTTTTGCATATTTAACGGACTTGAATTTAAATGAAAATTAATCCGAGACCAGGAGCTGCGGCTGCCCAGTCCGCAAATGTGTTTGCTTTGAAAAATGGAACGGCAAACGAATAATTGCGTATGAAGTAAACTCCGAAAACGTAAATATTTTAATGGTATGGACAACGAAGGATCGGTTTACCTTTGTAAATGAAAAATTAACACTTTTCAATCAATACAAAAGCCAAAATTGTGTGTACATTAAAGCTGGCAAGGCCCTTCAAATCTTTAGAATAATTCAGGGAATACTTTTCAAAATATTTTACCCCCTTGTCAATGAAATGCGTATTTCTTGGAATCCGAGGAGGGTGGAAAAACATAAATCTAAAATTCCGAGCGCCAATAAATTTTCATTTTGATAAACCCCCGTAAGCCTTTTCATGGCCAAAAACAAACTTCTGTGATTTATGAAGTTCTCGGCTACTGCTCGACTCCTTGGGCAATAAAACACAGAAGCCCATCACTGCCATCTATGGACACGATACAAAACTTTTGGCTTATTCCGCCCCCTCATAAGTATTCCGATTTTAAAGACCCGATTTGCAGAAACAAAAAAAATATAAAACTGTAAATATGAATCACTAATCTTTATGGAGCGAACCAGTGTTTTTTCGGCCATAAAAAGGCGAAAAGTTTTCTCTCGCAAATAAACCAAAGTGTCGATGCATAGATAAAAACCGTTCATCTGTTAATAAAGTTTTTCATAAAAATCGACCATTTAAATTACAATAACATGGCATTCGCCGGCAGTTCGGTCACAGCTTGTCCTGATGTAAATCCATAAACAAAATGAGACATGTTCGCCCTCTAATGTTGCTTATTTTATATATCCGAATAACGATGGGGGACATGTCATCATGCCCGACATTTGCGTCAGCTGGCGATCAAAGTCAAATTAAATTGGAACAACTTTTCGACGTCACATATTGCGCATAGAAAATGATTCGCCGGGAACAAAAAGAAATTGGTTAGTGCCAATTATGGATTTTCGTCTGGAACGTGACCAAAATAAATGGAGAATGTTCAAAAAATGCAACCACTTTTTGCTATAATTTAGTTAATGGAAAATACACGCGAGTCCTAATCCCCTGATTATTTCGAAATATATATTCACAAACGCATTCAACTAATTTGCATTTACATTAATCGATTGAACTTGGGCTTTATTCATTTATTAATGTGTTAATTAGCTCAATTACTGCCCCGGCTAACACTGCGTATGCGCGATACCTAAGCCTGTGGGCTATAATTTTCACAATTCAGTTGTTTAGACAATGCCGACCACTCGATACAGCATAAAAATGCCTAGTTATTCTCTGTTTATGAAGGGTGCTTCGCTATGTGTCTACGGCATCTGTTGTTTCTTCGATTTGGGTTCCTTTCGATATGAAAAGATATGGGGAAGCTCCGAAAACATCACACCTGCTGGCAATGGATACTCCTCGCAATGTGCTTAAAATTCGCTATTCTCTGCTTGGAGATACCATTTATGTTGATAAGCTATAGCCTAATATACTATTTCCTAAAGGGAGATTTTCAAAACTTGGTTGAGAACAGTATTTACTACTGGGTGCACTTGGTGTCGCAGTTGGTCATGTCCACCATATCCACCATGCGACTGGTGTTACTAACCCACAACTCTTACTACAATACTTTCTTGGTATCCCTAGTTAATAGAGTTCTTCGGCTTAATCGCATAGTAAGGATATCTTTTGGCAAGAACTGACATCCGGATAAGCTGTTAGTTACTATTTTCCTATTTAAAATTTCACTTACTATTCATCATATACTAGCGCAATATACACCTCATGGAAAAGTTTTAATAAGAGTTCGATTTCCTACCGTAAACGTGATCCTCTTTGAATTGTTTTATAGCTCTTACTTTCTTTATCTATTGCTACTTTTAAGCTGGCAGCAAACTTTAAATGCTTATGTGAAATCATACATTAAATATGTTAAGTTTCGACGATCTGGAACTTCCGATTACTTTCGAAAACTAATAAAAGTCTTTGATATCTACACTGAAATGGGGGATATCCATTTCCAAGTATCCAGTGCCTGGTTAAAAGTCTCCTCAATGCTCTTCATCAATATTTACTACACCGCCCATGAAAGTACCTACACTCTGTACTGTTTGTTTGCCACCTCAAATACACCGATGATTGATCGAGTTTACTTGGTAACTCTCAAGAAACTGGGAACCTGCTTCCATCCCCTCTTTGCGGTGTTGCTAATGGGAATCGCCAACGATCGATTAAAACACTTTGAGGTCCAGCTCTCCACAAATATCTTCCTAGTCGAGCTTCTTCATACGCCACAGGATCATTTAATCGTTCAAAAATTCGCTCGACTTATCAGCTGCAAGGTGAGTTTGGGTTATTCCGAGTAAATTGATTAATAAATTGATTATATTACTCTTTAGCATCAAAGTTTTATGCTGCAACAGCACTCGCTTCCCTTTCGAAATTTCATCTGGAACAGAGGATCCATTTGCGATCGAGTTCTGGTCTTCGAAATCTTTGTGTATCTCATCATCAATGCCACTACATTTCTGCAGTTTCTGATAAGTAAGAAGAACAGCTTTTGTGAAGAAGAACTTTAATGTTAAAAAGATTTATAATAAAAGAGTGTAAAATTAGGAATAATAATCCCTTTTTGTTCTGTAATTTATTCGTAAATTTTTACTTCATTTTTTTACAAATGTCACTCAGCTAAAGTATATGTCATATCCTGAGTGAATAACAGAAATATCCTTACTCATGGTTCAATTAAATCAACTAGGTAAATGGGCAACGCCAAAGCCAAATCCAATCAGTTGCAATATAGAAGACCAACATGAAGTCTTTGGAGAGTTTTACGCGTCGTTTCCTGGATTTGACATTATGGCTCTTGGGTTTAGTGCCTCTGCCACCGATTTCCCAGTTGCGCTGCTTTTTCCTATCTCTCGCGATTCGCTGCTGTTGGATTGTTTATTTGGTGTATCTACTGGAAGTGGCCTCCTCCTTTTCATCGTCGGCTATCGAGAGTGTGGGAAATGTGGTGGGTACTGCCCTGTTTATAGGAAACTCCGTCCTGGGGCTACTGCTCCTCCTGGAGAGTGTCCTGCAGCAGAGGACTCACAATCAGTTGGAGGATCTGCGATTCCAGTCGGAGTTGCAGCTGCAAAGACTTGGGATGTTTGGCAAGCGTCGCCAGGCGGGATATCTGCTGCCCCTAATAGGAGTCCAGTTGGCTTGCGATCTCGTGAGACTTTTGATCAATAGTGGGGGTACAATATCGCCCGTCTTTCATATATCCCTGCCATTGATGTGGCTGCTGCGATTTCGCTATGTCCAACTGGTGCAACATGTAATGGATCTCAATCAGCGGTCCCTTCAGCTGCGAAGATCCCTGTTGTCCTTGGCTTCCGGGAATGACCTTTGGCAACCCTACGGAGTCCACGAGTGTCGTCAGCTGCAGACCCTTCGCTGCACCTACGAAAGGATCTTCGAGTGCTACGAAATGTTCAGTGAGTGTTATGGATGGGGAATGCTGGGTCTCCATTTGCTGTCCAGCTTCCAGTTCGTGACGAATGCCTACTGGATGCTCATTGGTCTGTATGATAGACAAAGTCTGCGTTTTCTGGTCTTCAACGGAGCCACGGGAATCGACTTTGGCACACCCATTGCCACTTTATTTTGGCACGGCGATTCGGGAGCTGAAAATGTAAGTAAACTACAAAAACTTACTGGTAAAATCGGTCCCATTAGTACCCTTAACAAGAAGTATCTGTAAATCTGCCCAATCATAGCTAATTAACAGTGACAATGATGTATTGGCTTTGTCTCAAGTACATTTACCGAGTGTCCCTTAATTTAATTCCCTTTTAGTAACAATGTTTCCCCCGACAAGAGTACAAGTAACCTCACGAGTGGTCCTCAAGATATTCCACCTCATTTTAGTGGCATTTTCCCTGAGGTCCAGTCGATTGTCTCGTCTGATCCTGTGGCTACGCTTCCTGCTTTGGACAGTCTGGTTTTCTGGCATTTGGACTCAAAGTCTGATTTTTGCCCAATCGATTGACTGCAATATGGACTGCATACTGCGCCATTTGCTCACATTTTGCCAGACTGTATCGCATGCCTCCATTGTGGTCATCACTTTCCTGGAGGGATTCAGAACGCAACAGGAGCAGAAGGATTCGGAAGTGGTGGTGTTCGAGGACTCTGATCCCTGGGTGGCCTGCACTGTGCTGGCCATGCTAATGCCCATTTTCGGAGTCGAGTATTTGGTCTGCTCGAATGCCCCTGACTATGCCTATCGGGTGAGGATCTATCACCTGAAAACGCTGCCCAGTTTCCTGGCTCTGCAGATGCAGATTATCTCCTTTATCCTGGAGGTCATGAAGGTGAACATTAGGGTTCGTCAGGCCAAGCATCAGCTTCGGATTTTGGCCAGGGAGTTATCCAGTCGCTGGCCTCAGTGCAAACAAAGGCCAGAGTTCCTGGCCCAGCAGACCCCTCGAATCAAAGACCTAAAGAGGCGATATAATGAGCTGCATCTTCAGTTCGATCGAATCAATGGCTGCTTCGGGGGCAGCCTTCTAACCATCATCATTGTTTACTTTGCACTCTTTGTGTGCAATTCCTATTGGTTGTTTGTGGATGTGCGGACAAGTCCCCCGAGGATCTATGCAATTCTTCTCAACTTGGGGTTTATTTTTTTTTAAAAAAAAAAATAAATTTTAATTTTAAAAAAATAAAAAAAAAAAAAAAAAAAAATTTAAACCTTTTAATATATTTTTTTTTTTTTTTTTTTTTTTATTATTTTTTTTTTTTTTTTTTTTTTTTTTTTTTTTTTTTTTTTTTTTTTTTTTTTTTTTTTTTTTTTTTTTTTTTTTTTTTTTTAAATATAAAAAAATTAAAAATTTTATTTTTTTTTATTTTTTTTTTTTTTTTTTTTTTTGAGGGGTTTTTTTTTTAAAATTTTTAACCCCCCCCACACCCCCCCAATATCTTTTTTTTTTTTTTTTTTTTTTTTTTTTTTTTTTAAAAAAAATTTATTTTTTTTTTTTTTTTTTTATTATTTTTTAAATAAATGAATTTTTTTAAAATTTTTTTTTTTTTAAAATTTTTTTGTTATATTTTTTTTTTTTTTTTTTCTCTTTCCCCCCCCCCCCCCTTTTCCTTTAGTGGGGTTTTTTTTTTGGGGGGGGCCCCCCATAAAACTTTCTCTTGTTTTCAATGTTGCCCTGCAGATGTCCGCTGCCTGCTGGCACTGCCAAAAAAGCTACAATCTAGTGAGGGTTTTAAATTTGAATTACAACTCCTTGAAATAAATTCTGTAAATTTATTTCAGGGTCGTCAAATCGGTTGCCTCATTTCGAAGTTGGTTAAACCTCAGGGCAGCAAGCGATACAATGATTTGGTGAGCGAGTTTTCTCTGCAGACACTTCATCAGCGTTTTGTAGTGACCGCCAAGGATTTCTTCAGTCTCAATCTGCATTTGCTAAGTAGCGTGAGTAAATTAAAATATAATTAAAAAATAAAATAATTAAATGAAACTTAATTTAGATGTTTGCAGCTGTGGTCACTTATCTAGTCATTCTCATACAATTTATGTTTGCTGAGAGAAGTTCAAGGCCTAATTCTGGATAAAGATGAAAAGGAAAAGATCCTATATAAAATTTGTAATTTTAATGGAGATTTTAAGATTACATTAATTTATATCCACCCTAATCTATAATTAACGCTAATAAAGTACAAGTTTCGCTTTTTCATTTCCCAAATGAGTCTAGAGAGTTTAAATGAATGAATGATTTAATTATGAAACACACATTCTCTCAAAGGCAGACAAACTAAGAGCCTTTTCATCTTTGTCACAGCTCTTATAAGTGTATAACCCTAATTATTTATGCCGCCCACGATTTGGGGATGGGCTGGGTTTTAGGTTCTGGGTTAGGTTGCCTGAGCAGAAAGTTAGATTGCGCAAAGTTTTATCTTCGTTTTTCTTAAGCGCATTTTACAAGTCGAAAAGGATGAGCAGGGATGTGGGAGCAAGGCGGCAGCAAAACTACTTCACGCATATTAAACTGACATTTCACAAGCAGAAAACTTTTTCTAATATGCAAATTCATGGCGAATGCCTGGGAATGGGATGAAACAGCCGCACATCCTTGAATTAACACGTGCGAGTTCGCATTAATTTGTGTAAACTGGTGTTGGAACTGCTCGGGGTTACTCTGCGGATACGGTGGATATGGCTGGGATCCGGATCTGGTCGGGATCTGCATGTAGTAGTGCTCGAGGAGCAGTTTTTGTCGTTAGCTATGCAAATGCCGGGCCATGTAAATATTATTTACCGCACCAGCAGATGCTCAAGATGTAACTGTGCCGCCACTTCTGGCCCAAATTAGCATATAACATCTGTGGCAGTCGCTTATAAATATTTATGAGCCGCCTGGATTAGCACTACCTTCTATGTACACTTTTTGCTGGGTTGAGTTGCTTAGACCGTAAGCCAAAAAATTAAAATAGGGCTAGTTGAATACTCTCAATATTACAGGGCAATATTCTTACCCTATAAGCCTTTTGAATACTTTTTTTTAATTTTTAAACCCTATTTATTAGCTGGCAATACTATTAGGTATAAACCCTCTCAACACTATGACTTCAAGCAATACTATCAAAATACATAACTTTCCCATCACTAAGTTGGATAATATTACTTGTCAATTGTATTCATAGACTAAACTCGAGGTGACTTCATTATTCGTTTTTAATTTATATTATCACATTATAAAAGTACCGAACTCTAGTCATAATGAAAGAAGAAGACAATCCAATCTGGAAGACGATGCACGCGCGCCGCATTCCTGCCTCGGAACCGATGGACGAAACTGATGTCAGGTTGATCAGGGCCTTCAAGAAGAATCATTATATATACGCCCAAGAAGTCTCGCATGACTTGGAGATGATTCAGTCGAAGTTCTTCTGCACTAAGTGTTTGCTCTACGCCAATCTCTGCAAGACCATAGGAAACTATGTGAGGGAACTCGAAAAAGAGGAGTCTCTAAACGAAGAGTCCCAGTATACTTATAGAAGACATACCAGATAAACAATGCTCCTAACTACTAAATTTTATTATAATAAATATTGCACAATGCATCTTATGCCACAATTTTGTAAATAAAAATCCACAGCTTATGACAACATTTCCCATAATTTTCAAGGTACCATAAATCCATCAACATCTTATAAACTACTTCACAACTCGGTCCTAAGCGTTTACGCAATTTCCATTTAAGTTTTCGGTGGTATGAGGGGGGATGCTAATTGCTTTTTAGTGAATTATTAGCCAATCCAACTTTCGGGACTAATAGAAACTTGCATGCATGAATATTTTATCCACTTTACGAACTGTTCAACTTTTTTGATGAATTCTCAATTCGAAGGAGAGGCTTTGTCTTCCCACACAGCCCCCGGCAACGAATCATTTTTCAGCATAGTGGAGGGCAAGTTTTTAAATATTCATAAAATTTGAACGGACAGAACTTTCGAAATTGAATTAGTCAAATGAACAAAAGTTCATTTACACTCCACGTACGAGGCTCGGTTGCCCATACTTACAGAAACCATTGTGTGCGGCCAAAGGCAAAGCCAAAAAGCTCTAAAAGTTGGAATAAATTACTAATTAATGCAGGAGTGCTCCATATTGGGGGGTCATGTGTGTGGGCGGTTTCCTCTTCCCCATCCAATAATTAAGGCCTCTGTTTTATAGTTGGCAATCTATTGCGATTTGTTGGTCCGTTGGAAAATATGGTTTTCCCCCCCTTTCTGCATCGGACGCAGTGTGCGAGAGCGAAATTGAAGTTTTATGCTAATTTTAGGCCTTCCATCTCGCTCTCTTTCCCAGCGTTTCTGTCTCTCTTTCGTCTGGCTGAGCCCAGGACCTTATCTAGTTGTCGAGTCCTGTCAACACAAGGCATTACAAGGCAATTAGGAATTTGTTTATGGCTCTGAATCGTCTCGTCGACTTGCCACTTGGATACAACACACCGAAGATCTATCTTCGCCAGCAAAATGGATATGCCTCACATTACGGGCCCCATGAAAAAATTCATTCGAAATCGGATTCAATTTGAAAGGAAATCCTGGTTCAGTATGAATTGCCTTTGGCCCTCTCATTAGCAAAGCCAATAGAAATCTTAGCCTAGCATTTCTGTTTGAGTTCACGAGATGCCAATTAGGTCGATTACTTTTCTATATCACTATATGGTTATGGGCACCTTTACCAACAGAATTACGACGAAAAATACAGGAAAGTGCTGCTTTTAAGTTAAATACATAATCCTAATTTCTCCCAAAGATATTACAAATTTTCCAAATTATTTCTCAATTAAAAAAAAATTATATTCAAATTAAAAATACTTTCCAGAAAACCATTTTAGTTCTGGAGCAATATTACTTTTAATTATATTAAAATTCTACAGCTTCATAATAGGCAGCCATTTCGAGATCCGCTTCGGTTTCATGTACATATAAATGCAGTACACATGGCCCATAAGTCAAGCCTAATAAAATTCCACTCTGCCAAATTCGAACGACAAAAGTAATCTCCGAACTCGGCCAACGCCACAAGGAAAAGGCGGTGAGTGGGGTGAAAAAGTGCGTCACTTAAAACTTTTGCACTCACTTGACCAGAAACTTTTATTTTCCGTTAGCAAATTTCCCACGGGTAAACCGAGAAAGTAACAAAATGTATATATGTATGTTGTGTGTAGCCGGGCATCTTGGCGAACAAAACTTTTTTTCGTGTCCACAAATTGAAAATATTCCTCAGTCATATTTAATTTTGGCAGACCTTGGACCAAGCGAAAATCTCAGAGGTAATCAAAGACGATACGAAGGTCGGGGATCGCCCGGGTGTATGGACTTAATTACTGGGGATGCTCGAGGACCGGGAAACGATCCGGCTTAAATTTCAACCTTGTTGACTCGCCACGACGGTAATAAAAATGGAATAGTCACCGGGACAAAGGAGAATAATGAGCGCCGGGGAAAAGGGCAAGCGGAGAGCAGGAAAAAAGGAGGAAAAACTAAATAAATAATTCAGTATAAAATGTCAGGAGCACTGGGAGCTTTGGCCAGGACAACGAAGATGTCTCGGGAAGTCGTCGCCTCTCAGATGCAGTCAAGGAAGCAATTGTATTGTCTGACTGCTGTTTTCCACTTTAGTTTGCCACGCCCCATTCTGACGCCCATCCTCCGCCCACCACCCACCACCCACCTTCATCCGCCCGCTGGTAACTTGTTGACGTTGATATCCGTACGTGCCGAAGGTGAATGGCATCTGTGGACGCGAAATTGAATTCGTGCCTGGCAGTTCCCGTTTCCCATCCTATTGCCCCTCAACTTGGATTGAGTCGCACTGGGAAACGAAGGAACTCGGAGCTCGGAAGGAACTTAGAACTGGAAGCTGGGGCGATGGCCAGGATGTGTCAGGTGGCTTTACCTGCTGACTTCAATATTTTGTCGCATTACGTTGACAATTTAGATGTTTGTCTCGCGCATTCTCGCAGGATTCAATTTGGAGCAAATGCAGCAGCCAGCCGGGGAAATCTGCAAAGTTAACAGTAAGCCGGTAAGGGAAAAGCAGATCTGGCCCTCCACATGGGAATGGCAAGGTCCCAGCCAAATGCGAATGCTTACATAAAAATCAGTCGGCAATGTCCTGGCCCAGTCATTCATTAGACTTGTAATGTCCCTTCTAGCCGAGCAAATCTTCTCCGCAACAATGGGACTTTATAGTTTAGTTCTTGGGCCTTGGAGTAACCGAATACTGGATGATCTATAAAATAAAAAGAAAATTAATTATTACATTATTTTTAGAAATAACTAACCAAATCCAACAAAGAATTTAGCTTATGTATAGAAATGTCATATAAATAATACCTGATTTATGATGTCTAAATGTCTATTATTTTATTCCAGAGTCATTCTGATATTAATATATTCTGACATAGATTTTTCTTGACCCAGGTCAGAAGTTCTGAGTCAGAAGCAGCTCAGTCTTGATTTCAATTTCAGTGCTCAACTTGCAAATACTCTTACCCACCACAAGTATAAAAATTGCAAACATTTTTTTGTTTTCGCTCCAAAAATGTCACTTTCTGGGGGACGAGGGTCCTTAAGTCCCCCGTCCTTGGCTCAGCCACCCACTTGTAATGCGACTGTCGCTGGCAGCCACCCACCACCCACTACCCACGGAAACCACCCCAGTTGGCATTTCATTGTTGTGCTTTTCCTTTCCCATTTTATTTATATAATGTGTCTCGAATGTGTGTCTGCGGGTGTGTGAGAGTTTTTCTATCAAAGCGCAGGAAACACGTGCGGGTAAAACATTTTTCAAGCTTTTAGCGCTGCATACAAATCAACCCCGAAAAACAAAAAAAAAAAGATCCCATTCACAATAATTTGTTGAACTTCATAAGAGCCAGCGCTTTGGGTTAGTCGGATGAGATGAGAACTGGGGTGGTTGGGTGGTTCGGGCTCAGCCAGCTGTTGCATTATGTAAAACCCCAGCGTAATAGATCTGAGAATGTGGGAAAATTGTAGACGCAAATACCAGGCGAACAGCAAATGGAAAAGGTCCTCGACTGTCGGCATCTGAAATGGTAGTTTTGCTTCTTTTTTCATGAGGCTAATTGGGTTTTATATAATTTAAAGCACTTACTTATCAAACTTCATTTCCGTCTTCTCCACTCGGTAAGCTGCATATGCGAGTGTGCCCATTAAAATGCCACAAATGCAAATTAATTTAATTGAATCCAATTTGGCATTCGCATTATCTTTTTCATTGTTCCCTTAATTTTACAATTGCGGCTGGGATGGGCAGAGTGGTGGAAATTGTGTGCGGGGGATTAACCACACAGTGGAAACTATTTCGTAATCCGGATTTATATATTTTGGCAAATGTGCGGTCTTAAAACGAATAAACCTTCAACTGGGACTTGTAAGCTTATTATGATTTAAAGGAGTCTAGGATGGGCTTTAAATAAAGTAAAACAAGTCGGCTTAAAAATCTAAAATTAAACTGTACGAAATAGTCACAATTAACAAAATTCCTCTGCTCGTAAGTCTTATAATGAACACAAGCTTTTCCATTATACTTAACCAAAATCTGACATTTGTTTACGCTGCCTAATAATTGCATAAAAAAAGAAAAAAGAAAAACATGGGCTTAGCAGTAAGTCGAGACTGTTGTTAACAGAATTATAGCAAGAGGGGACTTTTAGCAGTCACTGTTATGGAGTGCCGGATAAAAAATGTTATCGGTGACCCATAAAGGCTACATAGCTGAGATAGGTAGCTAAACCACATGCGACAATCTAAAATCTGCAGGCAGGCTTAATATGTTTCTTAATATGGAAATGTCTTGAAATAATTTGTAAAATATTTTAGAGCTTGAAATATTTGAATAACTAGACCAATCTGTTGCTTTTTGAAAAGGGGGCTGGAAAAGGCAGTTCAAAACCCACCACACTGTTACTTAGCAGTGGAATAACAGTAAAAGAGCGTGCGTCTGCGCAGTGATTTCTTGAGTCACGAGTGCTAAGTCACGGCGGCCGAATGGGGTTCTCCCGGTGGAGCGAGTACCGCTCTCATTGGCGGCACATTTCCACCGCTCGGCTCACTCGCTGCTGCAATGAGCGGCACTCAGTCTGCCTGCTGCACTCGAATCGCGTGGTGGACGCCACGTCGTCGTCGTCGTCGTCGATCGGTTCTCGGTTTTCGCCGGCTTCCTGCCCAAAGTCACGAGTTTACGAGCTTAGTGGGTGGCGAGTTTCCACCCCGCTCTAGGAACGGCCTATGCAAATATGTGCACAACATGCTGCAACATAAATTAAATCGAATTAAATCCGCACAAGACTCGAACTAAAGTCAAAATATTACAATAATTGGGCTGTCGTGGGTGTGACATCTTTAGGTCGGCGGCACGTGTGTGTGAATCCAATTTCCGTTTTTCCCCCTCAGTTTTACCGGCTTTTCCTCGAAAGCACCAAATTGTATTTGCTCCAACTGAAAGTCAGCTAAAGGTAAGGCCCAGAGTCACCTGGAAATCAATAAGATTTTTCCTATTTCGCAACACAATTCCTGGGAAAATGTCCAGCTCGCCTGACAACCGAAAACATAATTAAATTATAACAAATGAGTTCATAAATATCCCAATTTATTGCCTCTCTTCGGGGGAAGTGAACCATATTTCATGCTGTCCATAAGGCGCATTTAAAGTTAAATCTCGGTGACTTTCTCTTGGCACATCCTGCGCAATTTAAAGCCGAAAGCAATTTTAAATTTATTACACAAATACCCAGGCATGCACGCGTATGGAATGCCATTGGATATGCGCATCATAAACAACGTCCAGCACTGGAACAGACAGCATATTAAAAATGTGACTATAACCTTGGCTTCCAAACGGGCGGTGGGCGGTGGTCTGTGGGTGGGATGGTGGTGGTGCTGGTGTTCGTGGACTGGAGTACGGCCCCCATTCCGCCTTCCGCTTCCGCTCCCGAGTCCTGAAAACCGCACCAAGGCCACAGCAACCATGGTCAATGCAATATCCCCAGCCAGTGGTGCCCGCAATTGATGGCAGAAAATTCAGAGCTCGGCTTAAATCTGTTAATAACCAAATTCCATGAAATTGAATTGTTGTGAAAATAAAAGCTTCTGAAAAAGCTAAGAAAAAAGTCCATATTTTAATGCACTAATAATTTCCATTCCTAAGAATAATACTAAATGTTTATGATAATTCAAAATAACATTAATAATACATTTGCCAATATCAAATGATAATTTTAAATATTTTTCATAAGTCAAAATTATATCAACATAAATAAACTCTTGCTAACAACAATCTATCTTTACAATAAGTACCCCCACTTTTTGTTCTAAACCTTTTAAGTCAACCATGTTTGGCTTGAAAACCGTAGAGACTGCAGCACTGATGAAGAACGTCTTCCCCATCGGCTTGTTGGTCCCCGTTTCTCGTTGTTTGTTATTTGTTATTTTTACTGTACACATGACAATAACGCCGGCGGCGGGCACTGCATCCCCGGAATGCAATGCATCCTCAGAAGAGCAGAACGGGTGGGATCGGCTCAACACTGAATCCTTCCCAGCTCGGCCAGCTCTCGGTGCTTGTGCAATAGTTTCAAGTGGCCGGGCAACTTTTTCCATTATGAATGGTGCGGTTGCGCTTTTTTCCATCCATTATTTACGAGTTTTGAGTGCAAACTTGTTTCGCCAGCAAACAAGTGGCGGCCAGAGGATTAGAACACTCGCCCCGACCGCTTTGGCGGAGTGGGTATCCAGGGGGAATATCCAAAAGGGGATATCCAAAGGGGTCAGGGGGTGGGTAGTTGGTAATAGAGGAGTCCTGGCACTAAGTGCTAAAGTTTCTGCCATAAGCCAAAGACAAAGCCACGCCTCATTCGGAAAGGGCCGGCAGGAAATTGTTTGAATTGCACAACCAATTTGATGCCATTCAATTATTTTACCGTCCATATTCATAGCACACTTTCTGGGGATTTTTAAAAGTATTTCAAAATATCATCTCTGAACATCTTTACATACAAATTCACCCCCTAAATATTAGTAATTATTTTAATCAATTATATTCTAAGTCTAAAAATATTGCTCAAAAGCAGTATGATATCTTATCTCTTAGAAACTTACATAGTCAATTTGATTTACCGTAGCTAAGGTCAGTTTTCACAAGTCGAAACATCTATGAATTCTATGCCGTTATCTGCATCTGGCATATAGGATGGCAACTTTCTTGAGCTACCAATACGAGTGCGATCAACTTTTATGTTCGCCTCTTGTTTTTCGTGGACTGCAATTTTGATAAAAACTTTCGAACATGTCTGGTGGGTCGATGCATTTATGCGTGTGCATAATTTTCAAAATCACTTGAGTATTTTGCGAAACAAAGTCAGAAGTTTCGCCAACTTGTTTCACGCACTTGCAGGCACGCTGCACCACCACCCAACTGAAACCCCCTGGGAAAGGCCGAAATAACCTCCCAAAACCACCCACCGCCCAATATCAGAGGCTAGGCCGTCGCAATCTGCCGCCATACACAAGTTCTCTCGTGCGGAGAGAGAATGTTCTGCATTCTCTGACATTGATAAATGATTTTCCCCCCGAAAGTTTAGCAGAAGAAAACCCAAAACAAGCGGGCCGAAGGGAGGGGGAGTGGAAATGCTGGTTGGAAAATGCATTCATGGCAGCAAAATTGTTGTTGCTCACTAAACCGTGAACGGAGAAATTCATCCTGCTCGGCTGGAATTATCGCAGCTCGGCATACTCGAGAGCCCAGTGACAAGAGCCAAAAGGCAGAGCCCCAAGAAATCATAAATAAAATATAGAAGCAGATATATACACTATACTATACTACATAGAGATTGTACTTGTGCCCAATTTAATTATCCTCGCCAGCCGAAAGAAGTGGCCAGGCCAAGAAATTTCATTCACTTAAAACTCCGGGGCGAAGTTCCTCCAAGCGAATGCAAATGAAAAACCACAACGCATGCTCAAGCCGAGTTTTCAGTTTGAGTTTTCCGCAATTCCCCCGCCATTTTCCGGCTTTTCCCCCGCTTCAACATGTAATTAGAGTGCGAGGAATGCGCGCGGTTGCCAAAAATGTTGTGGCCGTGGGTGCTTTGATGATATATATATATATACTGCGATATATACTGCGAATATCTGTAGAAAATGTAAATGTAAGTCTCAACATCTGGCTGGCCGCAAAAGTTCAAGTTTGCTGCTTGTCTGCCGCCGGGAGTCCTTTCTCGAGTGCCTCCCCGCCTGTGTGTAAATTGGACGAATGTGTCGTTATGTGTCGATGTGTTGACATCCAAAGTGCACAAGAACGACCCAAAAAAGAAAAAAGTAGCAAAAACTGCACAAACTTTGCTTCAAGTTGCCCAGAAGAGCAGCCCGTTGGATGGTGCGGTCAAAACAGACAAAGTTATGCAGTTACAGTCTTTTTTTTTTAAATTCCCTTACATACTCGAGTGTGCAACAATTTAAGCCATATCAGACATTTCTCGGGCTTCAAAATATATGTATTTTAAAAAAAGTCCCTCTTCTTACAGTCTGCAGAGCAAAAATATAAAAAATCCAGGGTTTTAATGCACATAAAAAGGGATTGAGCTTTATATAAGCAGATTAGAATTGGATTAAATCTTTTTCTATTGAATCATTTGGCCATTTTCGTTCTCTAAATGTATTTTAATATTATAATATAACAAAAAAATTTTAAGTTGAAAGTTATTTTAAAGTAGGACTGCCTTAAAACCCATTTAAGATTTAAAGCTAATTTAATTTTTATATTTAACCGACTGGAATCAATGGCTCGCCAATTATAATAATTAAAAAACAGCATAATCACAAAAATTTAACCATTAACCATTTAAATTATTAATGGCTTTGCTCTTTCATCAAACACCGCTAGAGTTCTGATTCCGTTCACTTATTCAAAACGGATACCCAACTCATCATTAATATCCTGCACATCGCACATAAATGTTGGTTAGTTTATGCCCATATTGTATCGGGTATACTGTGCGGAATAAATTGCTTTTGAAATTTCTGCTCTTTGTCCATAAAAAAGGGGGGAATGAATGTTGAAACGCCTTTCGCTCACTCGCATTATTAACGCACATAAAACTCACATATAAAGTGATTTAAATTTATTAAATATAAAACGCCACCACAGAGCATCGCCAACCATACCATACCGTACCATACCGAAGATGCGAGCGCATAACAATTGCAATAAAATTTAACGTGCATCGATAAAAAGAATATCAAACGAATAAAAACAACAACAACAATGGGGAACGATCCGCTTGGCAGAAGAGAACTTCATTACTTGTTTGAATGAATGGGGAAAGTGCAAAAATAAAAAATACAAAATGAAAAATGAAAAAAAATGAAAAGCGGGGAAAACAAAAAGAGCGAATATGATGGAAAAACCGCTCACAATGGGCTCGACGGATACGATGGAGCGGCTTTTATGCAACCAACAAATGAAGCGAATGAGTCGAGCCATCAATATCAACAAAGGAGAGCGTTAAATGTTTTATATTTAAGAGCTCGCCAAACAACAACCTATATGAGTGCCTGACCATAAGCATTTTTCTACTCATATATAGTCTGCAGTATAAAGCACTTCGCTCCGCCGGCCTCGTCATGAATAATTATGATTTTCAATTTAAAGAACATTTTCACACACAGCACAGGCTGTTTAATTGCTTTTCCTTCGATCGAATCGATACAGAAATTGACTTGTCGACGTCCCCCAGCAATATTTTAGGGGTGGCGGCAAATTGGATTTCAATTGTTGAGCAATTTTAAGCTGCTTCGAGGAATCCACTTTACCTAGGAAAGTGCGTTCATAAAGGATGAAAATATAGAAAAATATAGAAACATGTTTAGATTCAAAAAGTATTGATTGTATAGTCTTTTAAATAAAATAAAAGAATTTAAATAAATAGTATCTTTCTTGGCAAAGAATGTTTAACCAATTTTAAGTCTGGATAATAGTTATGTATAACTGATTATGATCTCAACACTCATTTAGGAAAAAGTCGAAAAAGCAAATCAAAAATGTGTATTTGCCAATTACCCTCCTTTTGCTTATTCAATGCATAATTTATGCGACTGGCGGTAATGTTATTATTCCAAATCAGGGGAAATATTATTGCATTGCCGATACACTCGCCAATATAAATGAATATAATTTTAATTCAGCACTGCATGCAAATGAAATGAAAACGTGGCTAATTTTCTTTTCGCCTCCAAACGAAATCAATGACAACTGTCAACACGATATGGGGTGCCACCACACCCCAAAAAGAAACTCCATTCGAGTCGGAGCTCAATAAAAATAATAAATAATAGAAAAATGCGCATAGAAATTGCCATTGAGATGGGTGCAGAAAGGGGGAGTGAGTATGTTTATGGGCGGGGAGAAATGTGCGTGACACTCGCTCAACTCATGGGCTTTGGTGGTTCTCAAAAAAAAATGGAAGAGACTTCAAGGTACCCTAGAAAAAATAACAATAAAAATAAATAAGATAAAGGATGATATGCAACTAAAATACACCATGTATAAAGCAAATCATTGAAAATAATTAAATGTGTTCTGACAAATATAATTTATATCATATATATTTTTTTCATGTCATTTTGATATGTATAAATATTATGATTAGATAATTTACAATAATTGTTTTAAAATACTACATTTGGTATTTTAAAACAGTATTTTTTTAGCTTTTTTGAAAGATAAAATATCAAATTGATATGTTTGAATCATAAATAATAATCATAAATAAGGTAGAAATAATCTTATTTCATATCCAATTTTTTTCTTTGAATAAATAAATATAAATAGGGTATCCTATATTCGACTACTGGCCATTGTCCTCGCTTCTCCGATTTAGATTTTAAAATGAGTTCTCTGGGGTCTTTTGCGTTATTGACTGCGACATTTATATGCCTCCCATTCGGCCATATGCGCATTTTCACATAATAGACACTCGTGTGTAGATACATTTCGGCGGTTGACATCCTGACAGAATTGACATCAGCAGCAATGGCTGGGAATCGAATGTGAAACGGGGAAAAAGTGGGGAAAACGCGGCTAAAACCCTTTCACTAATTAGGCAGCACATTTTCAATTACGCGCTGCAACAAAACACAATAAATGCCACTAAAAATTCTCCAGCAAAAGAGGCTGCGGCGAACTACGGAGAAGAGAAACGAATTTCATACTAATGAATCGAAAATAATTGTCCGACATCAAACAAACACAAACGCCATGTCAGAGATATTTAATAGCCAGCCACAAAATAATTACCCCAAAATAATTTACTATGAATTAGATACAAAGGCAAACAAAACAAAAGCGTGCAAGTTGCGAGATATAAATTAGAATTTGCTGTTTAATTGGAAATTTGATGCGAATTGTGTTGCCCCATCGCTTCCCGCTTAGAAAGTGGCAACGAGCAAATTGAGCTTTTCTCAACGTATTAAATTCCATCAATATGTACCTATTATTTTCAGCATGAGCTTCATTATTTCTGAAAATAGAATGTGGTCCCGCTAGCAACTTGGTTCTCCTGGATTATTTTACAGGAGCGTAAGAACGGTTGGGAGGGCCAGGAGTATGAATCTATCCGGTTGGGCCATCAATTAAATGCTGTTCCGGACAGAAATGCAATCGAAACCAACATTTTATGGCGAAGGGAATGGGTAACCAACGAATGATTCTTTGAACTTCATTTAAAAATGCAATAGGTAGAAAAGTAAGTTAAATAGTTGCTTATAATCAAAGAAGCCAATATACAATAATAATAATAAATATATTTTAAATGCTGCAGTAATTAAAAGCACTTAGAATTTGTATCAATCGCTGAAAAGCACCTCTTTAAACCATTAAAAATCACTAGATAATTTATCAGAAATTTGTATCAAATTAAATAAATTTAAATTTAACATTAGAGAATGTGGCTTCTGACTGAAAAATGTTGCCCTCCTCCTCCTTACGGCTTTACCAAAGCCACACATTATAAAAACACTTCTATGCATCAAAAACAAAATATTTAATAAATAAATATTTCACATTTTCCTTGCAGTTGCGGACGAAAAAAAAATAAATATGACCAACGCATCTAGCAAGGATCAACAGCAATTTAATTAAACCACAACAAATTCACTTGATTGCAAAACATGAATTCGCAAAAAAGCATCGGGCAACTTTGTTGCTGTTAAAATTCCTTACTTGCATAAAATATGAAATTCATAAAATTTTAATATTGCCATTTGCGTTAATTAAACCATGAGCAATTCCAATCGCCGGAGCCAGACAAAGCCACTCGCTTAAAAATGCACACTCCCCATTGCCGTCGTCCGAGGTAAGTTCTGAAAATAAACACAATAATAATAAGAGATATTGCCCACGTCTCTGGCACGGGCATTCTTGAAATACAATATTTTCATACAATTATGAGGCAAATTTAATAAGAGCCAAGAGCTTTTCTACACATTCAAAATATTTTGACAAGTTTTTCAATAATGCAATAAAGTTGCCAGCTCGGTGGCCCCAAGGCGGTGCCAAGGACACTCCTGATGAAATGAAAATATTGCCCACAATTTGTTAGGTCCAGAGGACCTGGCCAAGAACGAGAACGAGAACGTGGCCCGGAAGTGGGACTCCTCTCGTTCTTCTGGCCATTTGCGGCTACTTGTTTATCTTCCTGCATTACTTTCTTGTTTCTTTCTCACCACCACTCCCCCTCACCCGAAAGAAGAAAGATTTTTCAATAGACCAGAACGGCGGACGGGCAACGCATAAACAAATAATAAAAGAAATAACAGCAGCGGCAATCGCGACCCTGGCAACGACCTTTGGGCCACTCATTTGTCAAGCCGCGGGATGGGATCTGGGCGGGGGGAGAGGAAAGTCCAGGAATCCAGGAAGGAAGCCAAGAGCCCGCGGCTCCGGGCATTCATCTTGGCCCTCCTCCCCATGGCAACCAAGACATATGGCTCCCAGTGACCAAAACAAATTAAAGCCCCACTTTAAGGCATGGCCAACAAATCAAGTCTTCTGGCCAAATGGACAACTGGCCAACTGTCCAACCAAAAGTGAAAAGCAAGCTCTGAAAGCCAGCAAATTCGAGCTGACACCACCAACGAGAAACTTCTCCTTGCAGGAGACAATTTTTACAAGATTTACCTGACCGGCATAAGTAATCAGACTCGATTCGGGGTCCAGCTCGGGCCAATCGAATTCTAAACTGTCGTCCGAAAACGATTTGGACACAATACTCAAATCGGGCATCAGAGAGCAAGGACACCGGGCCATCAATCTGCCTGGCGGGCTAAGGCTGTTCTCCAAAGCAGTTTCATAGAAAAATCTACGGTTTGGGAATATCCAAGTAAATGATTATCATTTAAATGCGGAATGACTTCAGTTTCCAGAGCCTTTTCCTTTCCATTAAATTATTTTTTTAATTTGACAAAATAAAATAAATAAAAGTATTATTATTTATATAATTTAATTGAAGATAGGTGATTAATAAATATAATATATATTTACACTTTTAGGCCTTTAATTTAATTAAAATAAAATAAAATCATATCTTTTCCAACAAACCCATTCGAAAGCCATAAACTGCCCCAAAAGGTGTGCTATAAATTGTGAAGGCAAATTAAAGTTTAAGAGTTTCGGGGAACTTGAGCAATTTCCTGACCCGAGACCCCGGCCAGCAGACAATGAAATCGATTAAGCTGCCCATGTCCATGTCCATGTACACATCCACATCCTCGTCCATGTCGATGTCCTCAAACATTTGCAGCAGCAACTCATTAAAAAGCATTAAACGCCAGGAACGGAAGTCATTGAGGCTATCAGACGGAGACACGCTTCCGTTTCTCTACTTGAACAGTTCCCTTTCCTTTTTCTCCGTTCTTTTTTTTTTTTGTTCTTCCTCTCCGGCACAGATTTACGGGCCCAAAAGTGCGTAAGGTTGGGGAAGGAGTAACGGGAGGAAGGAGTGCGTCCGTCCGGGCTGAGATTGTCACCGGGCCAATGGTGTTGGCGGAGACTTCAAATGATTTATCGCCCGATAGTTGAGTTCAAAAGCGAAGCGCAAAGAGACAGCAGCCGGCAAGGACTCGCCAGCACAAATATTTATTTATAAAATTGTTATCCCAACCGGGCGGGCAAAGTCCTCTGTTTCAGCTCCTGCGAGTCCTTCGATACCCTCCTCCTCCTCCCCCTCCGTTGATTCCTTTGCCTGGTTTTATGCCGCGTGTCTTTTGCTCATTGCCAGGCATTCGCTCATTTTCAAATCGGATTTTATCAACTGAATGCCATTCTTGTGCAAATATCTTATCTCGCTGCCGCCGCCGCTCAGGATAATGGCAACTTTTTTGCGTTCATCTCTGCTCCTTTTGGCTTTAGTCGGAGCTAAGACTCGGCTTTGGAGCCCTATCCCGCCGCCTTTGTATGGCTTTGGAATTATTTCGAAAGCGGAAATTGATTTTCCTTTCTTATTGTGCACGGTTTTTCGTGTTGCTGTTGCTGTTGCTTTGCCTTGCTTTGCTTTAGCTGATTATCCCCGACTCTGCGACAGGACTCGCTTTACATATAAATAATTTGGCCAAGAGGATTGGGTACAGCTCCTGGCATTTGTTTAGCCATAAATGGAAACTCACTTTCCCTTTTTTTTTTTGATTCTCCACCCAGAATTATCCCCCTTGCAGCGCCTCATTTGGCGCCCATTGCGATGATAATGCGCCGATGATTAGAAGCCCCGAAAAGCTGAACGCAGAAAACGCTTCAGTAAAAGTGGATTTTAACCCCTTGCCTCTTTTCTAAAGTAATCTGAAGTTTTGCTGGCATTGTTATGGGATATAATCGTGTAGAATCTAAGATTGTTAGAGTTGCTGCATTGTAAAACTTGGCACTTATGCTATAAATCAAGATATTAAACTTATTTCTTAAATTGTATTTGAGTCAAAATCTGCCAATTCAAGGTCCGAATTTTACTTTTCTACAACAAAATATAAGAACTCATTTGAACGGTTTGCGAAATTGAGTTTTACGAGTTAGGGTAAGACACTTTTTCGAAAAAGTTCATAATTCATAACTCGAACGGTTAGAGAACTTATGATTTCACTAATCGAAAATTATTATGGCTTCCATACAAAAATTAAAAAAAATTAAAAATTTTTGTTCTTAAAAATAAATCAACATTTTTTTATTTTTATTTTTCAGTGTTCTCACCAGCTATAGAGTTTAAAACAATTTGAAAATAAGTTTGATTCATTACGAAAAGACCAAAAAAAAAAAGTTTCGCAATATCGATTTGAAGAGGGCGCACAGCGGTTTCCCATAAAAACTTGCTCGTGAAAACTGGCTGGTCAACACATGCCGTAGCGAGCGTAGCGTCAGCTGTCAATGGGGGACTTTGCCGTTTTGTATGGGAAACCCGTGCGCCCTCTCAAATCGATATTGCAAAAACCTGGCCGGGCCACTCTTTTTTTTTGGATCTTTGTAAGAATCAAACTTATTTTCAAATTGTTTTAAACCATAGCTGGTGAAGAACACTGAAAAAAAAAAAAAAAAAATGTTGATTTATTTTAAGAACAAAATTTTAATTTTTTTAATTTTGTATGGAAAGCCATAATAATTCGATTAGTGAAAACATCATAAAGATATCTCTAACCGTTCCGAAGTTGAATTAATGACTGAGTGCAACTTTTCGAAAAAGACAAAGCCATGTTTGACCCCTATAACTCCGGTAAAACAAATCAAAACCGTTCAAAAAGTCTAATTTTCGTTGTGAACCTGAAAATTAAAAAAGTTCGATGAAAATCGGACCTTCGGAACAGGGGTGGCCCACTTGGCAGATTTTGACTCATTTATAAATACAGTTTTATAGGAAAATGCCCACTTTATATTTCACTTAATTTATTTATTTACTTTTACCGAAATATAAAATTTAAAAAAAATGTAATATTGCCTTCCTTGCAAAATGAAATGTTATCCATACGAAGTGTGGGCACAAAATGAATAGTTGCTCATACGCAACGTTGGCTCTCAAGGGGTTAACCAAATTTGGACCGAGCAGCACGGCGTTTCTGGGCCAAGCTATCAGTGGTCCTGCCCTGACCTGGGCCATTTATTCTCGCGCTGGTGTCGAGCCTAGTCCGAGGTCCTGGAACCTGGTACCCAAGGCCCCGTATCCTTTGGCGCGTCTTTGACATTATGAATGATCAGCATAAATTTCCCAGAGCTCTCGCGCTTCAAGGCCCAGCTGCAGGAAAAAAAAAACGAGAAAGAGGGAGCGGAAAAGCGGGACCGTGGCAAACGCAGCCAGATAACTAGCGAACAAAGTGAAGGACGGCTCAGAAATTCATTTCATTTCATTTCCTTTGTACGTGAGCAACATTTTTTATGCAATTCCCCGTAATAATTCTCTTGGTTGTCGCCTCTTCACGCATGAATATTCAAGCGAGAGCGCCGTGAAGCCCAGCTAATGAGACTTTCTGTGGAATTTGAACATTTCTTAAACCCAAATCGTGTCCGGATTAGTTCATTCACAGGCGAATGAGACCCAAAAATATTTGGCCAACAAACTTGCACAATGGTGTCCAAATAAGAGAGAGCAAATAATGTCAAATCAAAAAGGAAAGAAGGAAAAGAAAGGGAAACGGCAACTGGGAAAACTAAATTCAGTTTACATAATATAGCTCATAAAATATTTTTCGCACATTCATTGCCTCTTGGCCCGAAACTAGGCCACACTCCAGTGCTCCTCAAACACAATTCGGGCATAAACAATAAAGTAAAACGACAATGGAGACGACGACGACGAACTTGAAGGCAAAATAACTTGAAACTTGAATATTTACATATGAAACGAAACCCACCCACGCGACACACAGGCAAAAATGTGGTAAATTCTGGAGGGGTTGGAGGATATGGATCGGGATATGGGGTCGGGTCTCCAGTTCGAGTTCGAGTTCGAGACTAAACAGCACTAAATTAATTCTGCACAATTTGCATTAAAATATGCAAATAAAAAAGTAAAGGAGGAAGCGACCGTTTAAGGTCCCCCCACCAACTACTTATAAAAGGGATCCATCCGGCGGCTCATATACACAATATACAGTCCCAGTCCCAAAAAGTAAGCGTTAAGCATATGTGTGCTTGAGTTTCGTCTGCTTTTGCTTCTCGCAGACAATGGCGGTCGGGGGGGGTTTGCCTTTTAAATTTCGAATGCCCCGTTTATGGCTTTAATGGGCTCGAAGGCCTCCGGAGAATTCCGGGACCTGCATCGGTTTTTGGCTTTCTTTTGGCTGGCTCGAAACTCGAGTGTTTCGATTATGAAAGTGCCACCCCGGCCGCACCACATTATTGCATGTGGTGCAGCAGCAAACGCCGGAGGACGAAAAGGACGAAAGTACGAGACCGAAAGGAGCACGGCCACATGTCTGACTGGCTCGCCGGAATATTACACCCGGAGAAGCTCGTTGCAAATTTGATTGTTCTTGGAGAGCGCGTGCCTCGCTGTTGCCGCCAAGAAAACGGGCTCCAAGGAGCTCGGAATATGGGAAAAAGGGTCCCGGGCGTCGGCATCCAATGAAGCATGAAACTTTAGCACACTTGCAACAGTTTCCCATTTTTTCATACTCCTTCTCCACCAGCTTTTCCCATTCTATCCCATTTTTTTGTACGCTTTCGGGAGAAATATGTTAGCTGCGACTTTGGTAATCTGCAGTGGGTGGTGCATATCCGTATCAGTGCTGCCATTTTGTCCTTTTTCCGGACAGATCTGTCCTTTTTTTAACGGCTTATCCGGAAAAAATTCAAACATCCCCATCCGGAAATCGTCCTTTTTCAAAAATAAGGTTTGAGTGTTATTTTGCTAGTCGAAAGTGTAAAACCTGTTTTATATGCAAAATGTCTTCTAACCATCATTTTTATAGTTCGGCTCTAAAAATAATTTTTTACAAATTATTAAAGAGACGTAAAGCAGTCGATGGATTTCTAGGTACAATTTTTCTGTAGCAAAAAAGAGAAAACACTTTAAAAATTTCCAATTTTACTCCCTTTTGTCAGAAAAAATTTCAACGACTCTTATTCGGGTTTGACGCAGATTAAATTTTTGTATTACCAATATAGTTACTTGAAATGCTTTATTATTTTAATAATTTTAGATTATTACGTATACGCACAAAAATTTACCATGGTAAAATGATCAAACAAAGAAGGTTGTGAGTCGGGAGCAGTAGATCATTACATAATGAATTTTATTTAAAATCCATTTATACTAAGTAAATATATAACCCATTGGTAAAAACAGAAAAAGAGGCGCATACTTGTCCTTTTTTTGTCCTTTTTTTAATTTTTGTCCTTTTTTCCCTGTTTTTGTGGCTTATCTGTCCTGTTTTCAAGCTAAGCGATGGCAGCACATCCGTATATACATACGAACACATCCAGAAGGAAAAATAGATAATAGTGGGGGAAATGCGTGCAGGATGCCCGAGCAACAACGGAGTACATATCTCAAGACTCAAGTCGGTCGATATTTCTGCGAAAAGTACTCGCAAATAGCCTTAAAGTAATGGTTTCCGTTGAATTTAAATTGTGGAAATACATTACACTTGATACTCTCCCAATAGCATTAATTTGAATCAAAAGTGCCAGTATTAATTACAATTTCAATGGCTTTACTCAATTTAATTTAATAAATGGTGTATAAACCATCTCGTTTAACAAATACCTCTAGTCCTGCAACATTTCTACAATTTTAATTACAGTTCTGTTCCCATGCACATACATATATCTACAATTCCCCCATTCATAGAGACTCCTTGATTAATTTGTGCTCGAACATGTCAATATACACACATGCGGGCATGGGCAATGGTATTACCTTATTGCTACTCTTACGAACTCGAATTGCAATAGTTCATCGCTGGGCAAGGGATTCCATATAATACATACGTATATAGATAGATATATCTCTATCCGTGTATGTGGAAGTTGCAAAGCCACAAGCCAAACGGGTATTATTGCTAACCCGCTGCACACCGATGGATGCTTCAAGTGCATGTATTTTTTCTATTTCGATGTTTCGCATCTGCGAGCGTGTGCCAATCGATTTTTAATAAAAACTGCAAACGAAATCTGTAAGCATATTGTTTGGCTATAAAATTAAAAACCAACAAGCGTTCCTGTTTGTGTATAGAATGGCGAGTTTCGCGAAAGTTGCTTAAAAAGAAGCACACTGGGAAAATTAATAAACATCTTTAAAATCAGTTGAAACAAATGGTAATTGAAGTAAGAAATAAATGCATTTCCATTTAGCACATCAACAATGATATGTGTAATATTGCAAATTATAAACTGTTTACAATAATTAAATCCACATCGAAAAAATAAGAGTAACAGATCGAAAGAGATCTTTATTCAAATGGAAGTTAACAGTGAATGGAAGTTTGTTGAAATTTTAAAATCGCTGTGTCTTAAAAATATAACCAGTCATAACCTCGAGTTTACTAAAAATAATTTACAGGTCACCAAAACTAATATAAAAATGTATTTAATATTTCTCTCATATTAGGTGAAATCTACATTTTTAACCTAACCTTTTCCCTCAGTGCCATCGATGGGAAAACCAGTTGTATTAGTACCCGTTTACGGTTACATTTCCCAGCAGTGGATTTTTAGATTTCCATTTGCGATTTCGTTGCCCGTTACCCGATTCTTTGTTATTCTTCCGAAGCTAAACAATTTTCGCAAATGAACGGATTTTTTCATTGTTCTCGCTTTCCGGCACTCGTTGTCTGGCAAATAAAAACACGATTTTAGTTAATTACCGCTGAACAGAGGAGATGATGATGGAGAGACATCGTCTGGATTTTTTCCCCTTTGAAGCTTAGTGGGGACTACAAAAAAATAGCAGAACTCCCGGCAAAAGAATCGGCCAAACAATAAGAACAACAGCAATGCAGTCAATTGGCTCAAAATGAGTTTTTATGGGATTTGCATACGCTGAATAGAAGAATAAATGTAAACAAGACCAAACTTGCCTGCAGTCTGCCGCATTTCCCAGCAAATTCCGAAACTCCCCATCTTTTTAGGGGGCTTTTCGCTTTTTGCTGCCTGCATTTGCATAATTTTAATTTTTATGATACGCGCCTGTTTTTCTTAATTGTTTCTCGTTAAGAGAGTGAAGCAACCGCCGCCGCAGTTAATAAAAACAGAACATATTTAATGCGCGCAATTACTTTGCATACGTTACGGCGCAGGACGCAGGACCTCCGAGGGCTCAGGACTCAGGACTCGTGTGCAGCAGTAGTCGCGCCTAAAACACTCCACTTGGATTCAGATTTGTGGAGTTCAAGTGTGCGTCGGCTCTTTTTACGGCCACGGAGCTGCTTGTCCGGTTCTTTACATAATAAAAGCGTAAACACGTTTTCACCATCGCCGGACTTTAGGGACTACGGGAGACTTGACTCGGGACTTGTGGACTGGACTAAGGACCCATTACAATGGCGCCACGGAGAAGAAAGGAAAGCCGCCACTTACGCGTGCCTGGGGCGAATAAAATTGGCTTTTTGTTTGGGCAGTTTTATGAATTGCTTCAATGCTCATTTACCGGTCGGCCTAATGGGTGCATTGCCGTACTGCCCGCCCACCCACAAGGTCGTAATGCTAGTTCTTTGCGGTAAGAGATCCATAAAGTGCACAAGTTTTGGTACTTTTATGGCCGGGTGTCGGCCTGAATGTGGGTTGAAATACATTTGCCGCCCCTTTGGAGTAGAAGAAGTGACTAAGCTGAGCTAAAATATAAGATATTAGTAATATGCCGTATATGTATATTATTTTTTTGTACTAATGGTAGGACAAAAAATATTAGAGTTATAAATAAATGAGTCCGTTGGTTTTTCAGCTTAAAAAAATTTTGTTGCATACTTTTAGACACCTTTGTACGTGCTTTTAAAACCCTGTAATGTTTGATCGAAAATCTCCGTGTTTCCTTCAATGGAAACACGTTTCCTTTTCTATTCGAGGAGCTTGTAACATTTCAAAAACTTTGGCAAGCGTCACTCATTAACGCCCCAGTCACTCCACTTGCAAATCAATTATCTGATGTGCCAAAAAAGTTGAGGAAGTATCAAAAACTCGTTGATTTACTTGTTCAACAACACTGGGGTGGGTCCTCCTAGCCAGGTCATATGGCCGCAAAAAGTACTCGAGTGCACAGACATAGCAGGAGGAGCCCAACAATAAACTGGGTTAGGAATGCCAGACTCGACCGACACGATTTCAATTTGCTTAGTTGATAAATGCCAAAAATTAATTCAGCCAGCACACAAAATGCCTCACTTTTTGGTTCTCGGCTTGGAAAGCATGTGAGTAGCTAAAAAATATTTTCACTTTTTTGCTGTGATTCACAGAGCCAAGCTCCCCAGTACGTTTAAGAAAGAAAGTTGCCTTTTTCTGGCTGTGCCAGGCACAAAGTTGCACCGACTTTGCACCCACTTTCCACCTGCCTCGTTCGTAGATGTACTAAATAGTTTCTCACGTGACTTTCAACCATAAAAAATGGCTTTATTGCTGCACACGTATTCATTAATGGCAGCAATGAACTCACATGTGAACTCCGCGGTAGTTTGGGGTTCCTTGAGGAATGGTATAGGGCGAAACCTCCCACTCTTCCACTTGTTGTTGCCGCTTTTCGGGCTGCATTCAGCAACGGTTGCAAGTCGTCTGCACAGGAAGTGCATATTAATTGTGAAAATTTGTGCGGATATTTCCTCGAAAAATAGCTGCCCTCCTTTCTTCTTGCCTTTCAGCCGGCGAAAATCCATGGCTTGGCCTGTGTCATGCTCTGAAAAATATGGTATTAGTTGGAATTCTTGAGAACTTTTATAAGTAGTGAGCTTTGGAAATAAACAACAGGGTAACTGGGATATATAAAGTTTTGATAAGTCCTACACATACATAATAATAGTTGATTTTTGCCTAGAAGAGGGGAGTTTACTCCGAAAATTATATAAAATGTTAAATTAATAGTTATCAATATCTGCGGTTTTTTTCACTGATTCTGGTTAGTGCTTTTCAATCAATCAAATTGGCAAATAATCCCCGGAATCTGCATTAATCCACAGCAATCTTGACCATTTACCTCGCCTTTGCATAGTTTTTTTTTTAAGGACAGGGTAAAATGATTTTCATTCAAAGCGTGGGGTATAATAAATAAATTTCCATAATGAACGAGAACCATCGGAATGGTAATGTAAATCAGTGAATTTTTCATTGGTTTCAGATGATTCTCCGCCCTTTTCTTTTTCAATTATTCGCGTATTTCGAATTATTCAATGCATCGAATGCCTTCGCCCCTGTCATCCGCTTGTAATTACGTAATAAGGCAGGGAATGTTTTTAAAGCCGCTTACCGTTAACAATCGTACCGCACAACCGGGAAACCGGGAATAACTGAAGAAGTCCTGTCGTCCGGGGCGAAATAACATGTTATTGCACTTTTCTTTTAAATGAATGCAGTAAGCTCAGCATGGGTAACACACGACAATGGCAAGGCGCTGATAAAAGTCGGGGTGTTTGCGGTCGCTCCTTTATCCTGCACGTCCTTTGCCTTGACAGGCGCACACAGGATGGTGAATGGTGGGTGGGGTGGGAGATGCATTTTCAAACCACAAAAATAATTAAAAACTTTACGCCCTGTCCCCGGGCAGCTTCAGCTTCTGCTCTCGCATTTAATCCTGTCAGACAGTCCCGGACAGCAGGACACACTCTCGTGTCGAGGTCAACCGATAAAAATCAAAGGAGGCGAAGTCTTGTCTTGGCCTTTAAACGGCGCGCAGCGGTTAATGAAATTGTCTCGCCGCCTCTGACGGACGATCCGGGTCGATAGAAGGCGGTCTTTATGGCCGGAAACCCCGTCGATGCAAAGTCACTTTTTCTTGGTTTTGTCCGGGTTTTTCCTTCTCCTTCACCTGTTTGCCAAAGTGCAGAAGCCAAAAGGTTTACGCACCATCGCGCCCGACTTGTCAAAGGTAGAAAAAATGCAAAAAAGTTTCTGTTTGCAATTGTTGCGATCTTGAGTCCTGCCTTTCGTCCGGCTCCTGTTTTTCCTGCAGTCTCTGTTAACCCATTTATAATTTGCGAACTAGATTGCTCTTAGATTGAAGGGAGAATTTGTATTTCAAAGTAAAAAATAATATGTCAAAATGTTAATAAATTGAGTTTTCAGACGGTTCGAAATTTCTAAAAATATTAATTTTGAATTTCAAAGCCATATTAAAAATTTTTTTACCTTACTTAAATTTTGATTTACTTTCTTGTTTATTTTATGAAATGATGTTAAATATGACTTATATTTTAAATAAAATATTTTATTCTAATTATTTAGTATTAAAAATAGCTATTTTTTATTTAAATAACCCACCATCATTATTTTGTGCAAACTTAAAAACTTTCATTTTGCATTCTGCTAAAAAAGACAACGCCATAAATGAAAACCTCCTCCAACCAGCCGTAATTACTTGAAAATTGGCGCAGAGAGGAACTTTTCATTTGGCCAGATCATTTGGCAAAAAAGAATCTGGCACTGCGTCGAAATGGGTTAAGGCCCAAGGCCAGGGAACAGCCATCTTTAACGAAGGAGCTGCGCGATTTCCAGGGGGCTTCTGGACATGGACCGGCGAAAGTTGCTCCTCTTAGGCCCGTAAAAAACATTTGCGCAATGTCAACAAATTTGCGCGCTTATTAGATTTTCGTGGTTGCACACAATTTCGCCAACTAAGACCGCCGCAGTGAGATAAAGTGCAGCCTGTGAAAATATGAATAAAATAACGAGAACTTTTCGCCCCCAAAACGGAAGTGCACGCTGCGTTTTTCTGTGGGTCTCCCTCTGGAGTTTTCCACCGATTTCCCGGGCTGCGGTTGACCGGGGGCGTGGCCCATGGGCTGGGGGCGTGTGGAGGGCCACGCCCATTTGCGCGACGGTCACGGTCGCCGGTTCTGCTAATGAGTTTTGTTGTCAGTTCTTGCTGGCCAAGCACAAATCGGGTGGTCGGGGATCCTTTGGCTGCTCCATGTCCTTGCCTTTGCGTTCCTTTACTTGGATTTATGCGGCAGGACTCGCCCGAGTGTGTAAGTGTGTGTGTGAGTAAGTTAATATTTGCTGCATAAATTCCAGTGCGTCGGAATTTACTGCGCTCCGTTTCGCTCCTTTCGTCCTTTCGGCTGGCTCTCCCCGACGTTTTGTTCGCTGTTGTCCTGGAATTATGAAAATGCAGCTCCACTCACCACATAGTCCTGCGGGATCCGGATCCCTTGGTCCGCTCTGCCATGGACACAAGAATATTAATTACTTTTTGCATTTTTAGCTCTGCGCCTGGAATTCAAATGAGCAGATTTTAGTTAATTTGTTTTTCAGCGTAAATATTTTTTTTATTTTTTTCCCCATTCCAAGCTCTTAATCCGCTGCCAAGTTTGTGTTTTTTGTTCGTTCATTAAGCGCACTAAGCTCACAAATCCACCAGAAACTGCCATGCTTTCTTTACTTATGGGGAATTATGTTTTTCATATGAGCCTCGCCGACAAATTGGGTCTTATATTTAATGAACTATCGGACATTTTATATTCCATCCTTATTTTTCATATTTAATGGTAGTTAATATTTTTATGAATATCTAGGTTTGACATAATTTGACACATTTGCGATAAGCCAACAGTGGCCATCAATCAGAAAATGTGAAATGCGATTTCACTAATGAGTACCCCCAAGGACCGCAGGCGGAGGACAGCATCATTGTCCAATATTCCAATGCAAACAGAGGAGTTACTCGGCTGTGTGCACGCCATGCGGCCGGGATGACAAGCGAAAAACGCTCCAAATTATCCGCACGTTACAGGATAAAAGCTACACAGCGTTCACCATCCAGGACCTAACCCACCGATGAGCTGCGTTTACAAAACAAACACAAAAAGCGAGCACACAAATATGACACTGAATTGTTTTTCATGTCGGCCGGCACAAATCGAAGCCGCCTGGTTAGGGAGTTTGGCCAGGATTGGGGGATTGGGTGGTGCCAAGGATGATGGAGCCACCGGTTTCGAATTCCATTTGACACATTTTCGCTAGCGATTCGATTTCGTTTGGTTTTGTCATGCTCGCTGTCATTTTTATTATGCTAGTGGGTGTCCCACCACCACCACAATAGTCATTCGAAACCATATCCCCCAGTTGGTTGGGCACTGCAAACATTCGATTTCCAGGTGGAATACAATTGGAAATCTACATTGTAAATTTTCGTGTGATTTCGACTGACTCCTCTTGTGGGGGATTGGATTCCCAGTTGAAGGCAATGACTTGTGGTGAGCAGGCTTAATTTTAAGACAAACTTTTGAACGCAATTTAAGGCACACATAAAAGTGCTCCGGGCTGTTTTCCGACATTTATAGAACCTCTTAAGCGTTAAAAGGAAAAGTTTGTGGGCATTAAAAATTAAAGTTTATATTTGGATATTTCAAAACGGACCTTAATGTTTAGTAGTAGATTTTTTTGGGGTTTACCAATCATTTAAAAGGTCGTCCGAGTCCTGGAAATACTTCTCCCACAGCACTTTGTAGTCGATATCGCCGCAGCTCAGGCCCAATTTGCTTTGATCCTGATCTTCGTCCTTCAAACCGTAGAGAAGGGGCAGAATGCGGGCTATGGCCAGCTTAATAAATCCTCGCGTGGTGGCAAACAAGACGAATACATAGCCCGTGGGGAAGATGGCCAGTTTGACCATGGTTCCCCTCATCTTGTAGGTCAGAAAGGGCTGCCTCAGGGGATCGTAGTCGGTGGCCACCGGATCTTGCAGGTGGAACTGCATGAGATTCAGGTGGAAGGGCACACAGAAGGTGGCGTTGACCACATTGAATGTCAGCCGGCGAAAGCGAAAGTTATAGCCTAGCCCATTCAACTCTTGCCTAATCTTCACAAGACCCGTTCTGGTGCCTTCTTGACTGTAAGCCTGGCAATACACGTTACCATTCGGATAGATCTTTAGGCTGCAGATCGGGGCAAAGCGCTTGGATAGTCACTGATAGTTGTTTATCAGGCTCAAATATGGCATAGTCCATAAGGCTCTTTAGTTTCGGGAGATTAAACTCGCACGGGGTCGTGGCGAAGCAACTAAAGGGTCTACGAGGATAGGATAGCGTTAAATATGTTTAATTTCATCTAGTTCCCAACTCACTTGTACACTATATTCAGATGCCGCTCTATGTCTCCCAGTGTGGACACATCTTCGTATATCTTCAGCACCTCTTCCTCTGTTGGAGTCCTTGGAGAGGGGATAACCCTGGTTTTTTGCTGACTCCATTCCATTTCTGACTGTGCAAAGTACGCGACATTACAATCAGTTAAACTGCGTACGTCAATCGGATATTTTATATCTCCGAACAGAGTTTCCCGGAACTTCGGTTTCATATTTTTAGGCTTTCTTGAAACTGTCAGGGGCAGCGGTGTGAAGCGCTTTAGATTTTTTCTGTTGATCGATTGTGATTAGTATTGTATAATTGACACCTCGGTCACTTTTACTTACCGCACTCGAATCATTGTCCAATCCTGTTTTTATATGTTGAAATTACCAATTAAAAATTGTCAAAGTTTTAGAGAGACCAGATGCGCTAAGCAATGGCGCTTCTAAATCGATAAAAATAAAAATGCAGCCCTGATCTCATATTGAGCTATAGCGCAATTGTGAGTTTTTAACTTTCAAAATAAAAAATATCGCTCTTTTTTTACACTGTTATTACATTTTCTTTTCACCTATTAAAAATTATAAAAGCCAACAAAAAGTTTGCATAATTTATCAAAACGCAGTGATGCCAACCTATCAAAGGCTGTGAAAACACATGTTTAAAAATGCAATGATTTCTGGCCATTTTAATTTCCAAAGTAAATTATTTGGCCATTAATTGCCGCTCGAGTGAGCCGCACAGTAAGGCCATTAGGTCTCTGATTAAATTAAAACAATGCATTTCGGTGCATCAAATTTGGGAATCCTCTAACAAACGCAAGCAAACAATCAAAATATCATTCAAATTCAAATCGCAGAAATTGCATAATTGAAACCCCATTGAAGTCCATTAATAACTTTATGCAGCAGTGCAGTTCAAACACACAGACACGAGGAAATCAAACACCCACCCACCCATAGAACGAACTCATATTTCTCAGCCGGAAAAAGGGCGGGAAAGTGGGCGGGGCAGGAGTGAGGGACTTGACGTTAGCTCATCAAACCCGAAAAACCACTTTGCTCAACTCTTTTCAAAGTGCATACATCATCAGCGCTAAGCCAAAACAAAAAAGCAATGCAAAGGGAGCGAAATGAACGATGACGATGGCGGGGTGGTGGGCGTAAAATGGGCGTAAGTGGGTGGTGTTGGTGGGTGGTGCCGGGGATTGGCGGTACGAAGAGCGTTGAAAACTTTTGTGCAATGTTGATTTTTCCGCAAGAGTCGTTTTTTGCCAGCACCCAGACGGACGGAGGCGGTCTACGGGGTCCACGGAGGAGTCCACGCTCGACGATGATGATGGTCGTCCACGGTCTAAAACCGAACGGAAGCGATGCCGCAGGCACTTTATAAAACCCGCAGCTCAGCAAAAGTCTTTCAATAATAATAATATTGGGGCGCAAGAGGGACAACAATGGCAAATGGGTGAAAGTGCTCGGCTAAAGACTCCCCCACAAGCACATATCCTCAGGTCATAGGTGAGAGGATAAAGATAAAGGCCCAAAGAAATAGCAAATAGAAATTACAGATTTGTGAAGATACGCCTAATTGGATTGCACAATATTCAACAAATGGAATAGAACAAATGGATGATTTAATTCGATTTTAAAGAAAATGGAATGGATTTAAATAATTTTAAATAAATGAAGGGCATTGTAACGATGTCTAAGTTTCTTACATAATTAAAAAGAATTGAGATAAATTTAAATTTGTTGGCTTAGGCTCAATTTATTGTGACAATTTTTAATTTCTGTGAGTTTAAAAAAGGGCAAGCGAGTCAGGATTAATATGATATCGCGCCTTTATCATTGGTGTTATTGGTAGAGCAGTCAAAATAATTTGATTCTTTCTCGCGCTCGTTTAAAGTCGCATTAAAAAAAATTGCTACAATAAATTGACGTTAAAAATTGAATGTGTCATCTGAGCCTTACCTATTCTTACTATTTTCAATTTTTAGAGCGGGTATTTAGATATAAAAGGAATAAAAGGTAATATTTATCAGTACATTTAAGCCATTAAAAACTAAAGTCAGCACTCTGATTTAGTGACAGGTTCTATGACACCGAGTCCATTAAAAATCAAATGGCAAATCGTGTAAATCACAGCCTTGACTTCGCCCCCTACCCTTGTCCCCTAGTGACCCGTGACCTCTTGGCGGGAATGGGGAATTGAAAATGGGCATGAGTTCGGGGATTTATACCGGGAAATGGAGTTTGGTGTTGTTTGGTTTGGTTTGGTTTCGGAGTGATGTTGCTGTTGGCGCTGCTGCTTTTGCTTTTGCTGCTCTGCTGATGATGATGATGACAAACAAAACAATGGAATCAAAGCGGTTAATGGCTTTTGTGTGTAAAATGAATGAATGCGGCAACGTTTCCTGCTTTCATTTGCAGCGTCATTTGCTCTGGTAGCTACATACCTCCCCTTGACCCCGCTCCTTCCCCGCACCTCTTCCTTAGCCCTCGAGTGCGGGGGTGAGAGGTCATCGGCTACAGCAGTTTTAGTAACATGTTTGTTTGTGTACACTGTAAACGCCCTCGAATGAAATACATTTTCATTGTAAAATGGTAAGGAAAACTTTGAAAGTGCCATGGAAAGTAGAGCTTTAAAATTATCGATATTTTTTTTTTTTTTTTTTTTTTTTTTTTATTATTTTTTTTTTAAAAAAAAAAAAAAAAAAAAAATTTAGGAAAAGGGGAAGTTTTTTTTTTTTTTTAAACTCTAATGGAAAGAATTAATAACATATTTTTTACCAAAGTCGTTTTGTTTACAATTTTTTACAGACTCAAACATAAACATTTTTTAAAAAAACAAATTTTATTATTTTACATCTAAATTTATTCATGAACTATACAGATTTAACTTAAATAATATCTTGAAATTCTTAAATATATTTTATTAATTTTTTTTTCTCAGTGCACTTACATTCCCATAGGTAAAAGCTGTTACAAGCGCTAATCGATAAAAGGGAGTAAATTCTTTGCCGTTGGGGCGGGGGATCGTTGTGGCAGGGTAGAAGCTGGGGGGAAGCTGCATGGAACTGACATCGCCGGCAGTGCAACTCCACTTTCATTATTGGTTTTTTGTTACATCCCTGCCACATGCCACATGCCACAAGGATATGCCCTCGAAGCCTGGCAAAGATGTCTTCCGCCCAGCTCTTTGTACAACCGATAATTAAATCGAACAAAGGCTCAGATTTGACAGTCCCTTGCAGTTCCGCTCGTTTATCAACTGGCGAGTCCCGAGTTCCTCGCACTCACCGAATGTGTTTCCATCTGAATTTTCACCACTCTGTGGGAGAGTGGGTTTCTTCTGGCAATTAGCAGACATAAACAAATGGCTTAGCTGATTCTCAAGAGATCTCATGATTTTATTTATTTGTTTTCCCCAAAAATGTTAAAGGGCCATCGAAGCTCAAAAATGAAAAAGGAATTTACCTGCAAGTTGGCAGCTTAAAAACTTCAGATAATTTTAGAAGCTAATTTTTTAACCATACATAATGAGAGTTTCTTATTGTATTTTAATAACGTATTTTTATTAATTAAGCCGCGCTTAAAATACTTTCGAGGGTTTCAAAATAAAGCCTGCTAGTCAAGATAAGATAAGATTTGCATTAGTTCTTCCAGATATAGCGCCACTTTGAAGTGGGAGGGTAGGGGAAATCGGGAGCCATCCATTCCGCGGACAGGCAGCTAATTAGGCGATCAAGGACTGCCGGGGGCATGTCAGTAAACGCCTTCATGAGCGTCGTTAAAGGGGGTGGAAAATCAATAGCTCTATTATTTGGCGGAATGTCGGCGGCCAAATCGAGCGACTAGACTCCACTTGGCTCCATTCGATGTGTTGATTGACAGCCTAATTGAGGTTTCTTGACTTCTTCAATTGGGGGTAGGCCAATGACCGTTTTCTGTTTGTGCTAATAATAATATTGTTGTTTTAATATCGTGACAGCGGAGGGGGAAGAACAACAGCTTGTTTAGTTAGTCATTAGGCTGGGGAGTTAACACAAAAGGTCTCACACTTCGACCGCACAAAACACATTAAATATTTGCCGAAACTCGCACTTGATTGCCATTGTTGTGGGACTTCCGTTTTAATTTTTTATTGATTCAACTGTTTAATGTCAATTGCTGTGCAAATAGCAATCAAACGCTTGGTTTACGCAATTAAGAAGCAAATACCTCCCCGGCTGCAGACATTTGCCTTTCCCACTCCTAATTAGCATTTACATTGCGTGCAACATACTGCAAGACATAAAATTAACGCCAACCCCAATCGCCCCGCCCCGCTTGGATTGATTTTCAGCCTTTAATTTGAATTTCGGGCAGGGCCTTCGATGAAAGTTCCACTGGGATGGTCATTAAAAAGTCTGAGTGGCCAACAGAGTCGAGTTATTCACAACTTTCTGTTGTTTGCAACTTTCAAAGGGTTGATTGAACTCTTTATTCGTGGAAAAAATAAAGCACCGGAATAATACAAAACCTGGTGAGAAAAGTTTACAAACATTTATTCGTTGTTTGGTTCAATGTCCCATTGATGGGAGGATTGCAAAACGGCGCGGAACTTCCGTTTGTGGACTCAATTATGAGGGATATCAATTTGAAAAAATTGTATAATTTTAATAGGAAATTTAAAGGACTTTATAATGCCCTTACAGAAAATAAAAAAAAATAAGAAATTTTAAAATGTATAAACATAAGAGTTTTAAAAAAACCATTTAATGTCTGTATGCCTCTAATAATATTTTTAAAACTAATTAAATCTTTCAATCCACCACATTTATTTTCTATGATGTTTCACGCTTAAATTTTAAGTTCATATTCCTTAATAAAGTGTAGACCCGCAGACAGTTGGCCCAAGGAAAATATCATGCTAAAATAATCTTCAACGGAAAGCAGCTTTCAAGTGTTTTAAAATGATTTCTAGTGGCACTTATGTGCTGCTCTATCCACTAGAACAAAAAAAATTTCAAACACAGCGCGATTTCCGTTTGTGCTCATTCAAATCACATGCAAAAACTATCTAGCATACTTTTTGGCACTCACACAAGTGCAAACACCAAGGAGTCAAGGCTTGGAACTGTTCCAGATCTGCTGAAAGCCAGGTCCTTTGGCTCTGTGGGGAGGCAAAGGAACGAGGGGACGAAAGGAAATCCAAGCCGAAGCGGAAGCGCATAGCGCTGAAATAAAGTGTTGCATACTGTTCGGGGCAACAATAATAAAATATTGCATATTTTGCGGCTACACCAAATCCAAGGCAAGCAATCCGTTTTATGGCACTTGGCACGAGCATATTTACTTTGGCCTTAAGCTTGCCACA